TGAAAATGTAACTCTTCTTTTTCTTCGAATTGGAAAAAACGACACATGCTCAATCTCATACTGAAACATTTAAGGGCAACAGCAATCGTGAATACCCACGTGTGAGGCAATTGAGATTGAAGTCGCTAAAATTCGCTGAAGTACAATTGACTTTTCTTTCTTTTTCTCACTTCTTTTTACCATATTCATATGATGTTGTTGTTTTTTTACCACGTTCATGTTTTATACTTATTCAATTTTTTCCAGTTGTGAAAAAAGAACAAAATATAAACCATCCAGTACAATACTTTAATGGTTGCCTATGGCACGGGTGTCACACGACATTTATAGAATATACCTTATACTTCCAGAAGAAGAAGAAAACGAGCTGAGGCAGAAGGTTCGAAGAAAAAGAAGAGTTACATTTTCAGTCAGAGTATAAGTACATATTTATATAAAAGCTTTCTTTCTTGTTCATTCAAGCAAGTTTGTGACATTGTTACAGATCTATATATTTTTCTAAAATAATTTTTTGAAATTGATTGAAAAGCATAATTAAAATGGGCAAAACACATTCCAAAGAATCGTTTACACAATGGGATTTGGATCGTTTTTCAAATGTTACAGGTTAGCAGAGACGGTTGTTTAAACTTCTATTTGTTGATTTATTTCTATGTTCTGATCAATAGGTGTTCCGAGAGCAATTGTTGAAAAATTATATCAAGAATTTATTGTTTGTAAGCATAGTCTATTTTATTCGATCGAAAAAGAACTGATATGTTAACACTACTAGTTTTTTCTGGTTCAATTTTCCGCTTTCATCTAATTTTTGGATACATTTCAGCAAGTGGAAAAGACAATCGAATGGACAAAAAAGAATTTCGTCGGTTATATAAAGAATTGTTAGCAAGTGGTCAAACTACAACGTTAGGAGTTGGTGATTCAGCATCTACAGCGACAGGAGCAACAAATGTTGGAACAGCTGGAAGCAGCGCTGTTACTGTCGTCTCCGATCACGACGCTGAGAAAATAGCTGATCGCGTTTTCAAAGCATTCGATAGTGATGGCTCTGGTAAGAGATCAAAAGATATATTTTTTCTAAAGTTTGAGTTTATGAAAAAAAGAAGAATGAAATATATTTTGAATTATTTTCTGACTACGGACAAACTTTCTTCTCCGTTGCCTCAGATAAGCCTGAGCTAAACTGAACCTTCTTCTATTTTCTATAGGTAAATTGACATTCGAAGAATTTGTCAATGCATTTGTTATGTTAAATGAACGCGGATCCGTAGCAGATCGTAAGTTACTCATTTATTATACGCAATCATTTCCTATGAGTTAATGGATTGTCGCCATACCATCGTGTCATTCGGTCGGAACACTCTGTTTTACGACTGTAAAATTTTTAAATGTATTAGGTTTCAATTATGTTCTGGATCATAATAATCCAACACCTGGCTACATCACACGCGACCATGGTGAAAAGGTTTACAATCGTGTAGAAAAGTATTATAGTACAGATGATTCGAAACCAATAACCACGACATGGGAACAGACTTGGACAAAAATTGATGACGGAACTGGTGTAAGCATATTTTTGATTTTTCTATCCCGTCGACTAGTCATACAGCATACTATTTATTACTATTTTAGCGTGTACCACAAGCAAAATTTACTGAGTATATGACTACAAATAGCGATTATGCACCACACTTAAAACATGCTAACACAACATTGTGAGGTGGACGATACATTACTCGTAATATGTTCAAACAATAAAAAACAGACTCAGACACACTTTTTTTCTTAGTTCTTTTTTGCTGTAAAGTTTAATTTTTATTAGAAGAATTTTTCTTCGCGTTAGTAAGTAAATGCAGTAGCCATTTATTCGTTCCGAAAACGTTCAACGCATAAAATCGCTAAAAAGAGGAGTATGCATTTCAACAGCAGGATATACATACGGGATGAGAGTAGGGATAGAATGTTACTGTTAGTCATGTATTTTTACAAGCGATACCTACTTTTAAAATGCAAGAAACTCTTGAACGATTTGATGAATAATATCTAAAATTGGTTAGCTGATGAAATACGATAAATAGATTTGCTCTATTCAGCTTTTCTATGATGACTGTATAAGTTGTGGACGTGATTTTAAAATATGGCGAAAATAACATTCTGTCGATCTCGGTTGACAAGTTTCTAAGAAAAGTAAGGTAAAGGATCTTGGTTACGAAAAGTAAATTTTTATGGCGAAATCATTGATTAGATCACAAGAAAAAATCGAATTAAGGTTATGCTTAAGAATTTGTAATACTTTTGTGTACATAAACTGCAAGGGGGAAAAAGCAGTTGTGGAATGGTAGCATGGGCCGGAGTGGACCACATTGTTGCTGAATGAGAATTCCTATTTTTCTGTAGGTATTCTTAAGATCCCTGCTTCCTTCAGCGGGCATTTTTGACAGTTTTTTCTATTTTCTATTTCCGATGGTTCTGAAATGGAAAATGGAAATGATTGTTCTGTTTTTGGGAAGAATATTGAGAGAAATATCACTATTTTATTCTAAAAGAAAACAACACACTTCGCCACTCTGGATCATTGTACCGAGTGCCGGAGTTAATTGCAATATTTTCGAAAGCCCTCTGCTCAAAAGCCTAGTTTTCCAGAAATCCATTTTGAAAGTAAAAACTAAACCAGATTGCTATCGCCACTGGAATCAGCATGTCTGAAAACCTCCAGTCTCTAAGATTCAGCCTGAATTTTTCATTTCAGTAGACTGTATCCCAATTTTTCTTGTATTGGAAGGACGCTCATTGAAGCAGCTACTCTTGCACAGATAAATTATGTGCACAAACACATTGTTTCTCAAAATACACACTCGACAGTATATGAGTCTGTCAAAATGAAAAAATTGTCAAAAATGGTTTGGAATGGTATAGAATGGACTGAAATGGCCCATTCTGCTTTTCCCCCTTGATAAACTATCTGTATTTTCCATCTAATTTGTACTATTTTTCCAGTAAATGTCCAAGTGTATTTAATATATTTAACAAAAAAAAATGAACATAGACAGAGAAAGACTGGAACTAGTGTGCTACTAATCTTTTGGTAAAGCTGATTAGATATTGTCTGTAGTATCAATCGGAGAAATTACTAATCAATTTTTGCGAGACAGTCCAGTATTACAGCGTAACGTTTAGCAAAAATGTGTATGTTAATATAAAGAAGTACATAGATTGTCAAATGATGTGACATGTTCCTTGATGACGGTATTATATAACATGTACATTTTTAGTTAGTAAATATGTTAATACTCCTTTCAAACTCTGACTACACTTCAACCAACTAGATCGCTTGTACGATATGTACAATCTCCGAGATCTAAACCATTTCTGATCATATAGATAAACCAACATGTATTATATACTTTTTCCCATGACCTTTTCCATGTTTTTAGCATAAAAAGATTTAATTTTCGTAACCATGGTCTTTCGCATGTTTTTTTTTTCGAAATTTTGTCAACCGGGATCAAAAGCAATGTATTTTCATAATTATTTCTCATTTTGTTCTAAGTTCTGTGATAGTCTGACTCTAGATTTCTTCCAGTCAATTTAGTTTATCTGACAGAATTTTCTCACTCACTGTGTGCATGAAAGGCTGATTTAAAATAGCATTGGTACTTGTACAAATGACGTAATTAAACTTCGATCGTATCAGCAACAACGTTCAACTGAATTTTTAGTGAATAAACTTTCTGATTTTTATCTTAAATTGTTTTTTCCAAAAATACTAAATTGTCTCTAAACTAGTTAATCTTCGCATTGTTACAATTATTTCATTTGATAAGGATGTGATTATAGAATTTATGATTGATTGACATTTAAAAATGAAGAAAATATTTGGCTGTAAATAATATAAAAGCTATTTGAAAATTCTTTTAGATGATTTTTAAACTTTTTAAATTAAAAAATAAATTATAACAAACAACTGTTCAACGCAATAAAAACATTATTACTAATTGTAGCCATTTGTTCTGTAGAAATCAATGAATCACTTTTTATACTTTATTATAGACATGTAAAACAAAGCTAAAAAAATAATCATAGCTCATGTTCTGTATTAATAAATCACGTAGCTATTTAGTTGACACGATTGTTTTGATTTGAAAACAACGGTAACATAAAACAGATATGTTCATACTCTTTAGAAATATTTCGTGTTCTTATCAATAATCCACTCATTATCATTTACTTTTTTTCTTTTGAGTTAAGTTAAGTGATTTTACAAATTATGCAATGAATATCATAGAAATTGTCTTCTGTCACATTTGTCAATATTTTAATTTTGATCAAAACTTACAAAATAAGAAAAGAATAACTTTTACTTTACTTTAGATACCAAATAAAGTAATGAGTAAATAAAAGTAACGTTTAAATTTTCCTTTGTTTTCCATAACTCTTATTTTCCAAATAACTTTGAGATAAACTTTAAATTTTTGTCTTTTTAAGTAATCTCTTCACGTTTAATAACGTGAAGAGATTATTTCTAACAATAAGTAACAGAAAAAATTAATTTTTACATGAGACAAAAAGTATGCGTAATAACTTTCTTAACGAAAACCGGGAGTAAGTAGATTGAATAATTTGATCAGTAAGTAGAAGAAAAAAATAGATAGACTATTGGACTAGCATTTTAAAATTGACATAATCTCATCTAGGTATGCACCGATACCGATAATGTATCCATTGAATAAAAAAAATGAGTTTTAGACTATGTTAATTCTATTTTATTTTTTCTTCTAACATTGCTGATGTTTAAATGAATGTATTAAATTAATTTGTCTGTAACTGTGCAGTACAACTTTCTTATTTGTGCTGAACAATTATAACTCTGCATCTAGTTACGTGACTCTCGACTATTTTCGTATTTGAATAGAGTAAATTTAGATGGTATATGAGATATTATTTAGACAATTATTTAGTTTGATGCAATAAAAAAAGAATAGAGTTATTTAAGTTTTTTTCCAAAAACTCGCAGGTTTTCAATAAATATTTCTCTCTCTAATAAGTAACAACAAAAAAAAGATTTATCGAATAAGAACTTTTCTATATACAGTAATAATTTTGTTAAGTGGGATACTACTACTCGGGTCGAAGAGTCGTACGAGCGGATCGTACCAGATCGGATATGATCAGATACGATTGTATTGTATGATCGTACCATATCGGTATGATCTAGAATAATCGTACAAACTCATACATACGAAATGGTATCGTGATCTGTGAAAAGTCATAGAATCCAGACTATACGCTTCATACAACAATTGTACGCACGATATTGTACGATCTGATCTGATCCAATGAGATCATACATACGAAATAGCAATATTACATAAGATCGTATCTGATTTTGTACGATCGTATACGATCTTACGTACGAATGACACATGATTCTGGCTGTTTTTTCCTAGTTTCTCTTTTGCTTTTTCTGTGCGTTTTTGCCGCATATGAATCTTCTCAATTCATTTCTTTTTCATGCCTTTTAATCATGTATGGGAGGTATAAATAGTTTAGAAAAAGAGTCGCTGAGTTGGAAAAACTGTAAAAATATTTCAGTTCATCGGATAAATCACATCAAAACAAGACAAAGAATTTAAAAACAAAAATAACTTAAATTTCTTAAAAAAGAAAATCAACAAACAGAGCATTACAAAAAGAAAGTGAATTGAGATGAAAAAATGTGAGCGTAAATCTTGTCATCAAACTAACTAAATTCCTATAAATATAGCGCTCGAGTTAAAAACACACTGCCAGTAAAGGGAAAGGCTTCCTTCTGGTCCTAATCTTCTGAATCAGTGCCGCTTTCTCCTGAATTCTGAGTGTCATACTAAAACTGTGTTATCAAATAATCAGAATTCAATTTAAAGAAAGATCAAAAACAAATAAATAAGCTGAACATCACATCGCGAGGATAGTAGATGGTGCTGCTAAGCATCTAGTGTGCTTAGTGCTATGAAAGTGAAGGATGAAAATGCTATGAACTTAAAGTGAATTTTCTGTAGTAATATACTTCTAACACTAAACAAGACATTTGAACTCGAAATTGAGCTTTTTTTAACATTTCAAGTATAAATCGCAGCAAAAGCAAACAAATGATCTACAGCGCACTATTTCGACTCAAATCATATGAAATCGTACAACACGATCATATACGATGTTTACCAAATGATTTCATACAATACCTGACCGACATCAGACTCGTTATCAGACTCGTACCAAAATCGTAGTATAAGAAATCATACGATCTTGCAATACGAATCATATCACTTCTTACTTCTCGTACGATCTTGCACAATCGTGTATGATTCTTCGACCTGGATACAATACGATGCGATACCGATATATTAGTATCGGGACATACGTAATCTCATTTTTATTTCGTTAATTCGTATAACCGTATAGAAGATCAAAATAATTGCGTCAGATGAATTGAAATTTAGGCTCTTACAAGGTCGAATTTATAATACGATATATTGATTAAAGTAGATTAAGAGTACCCCTCTTCTTTTTATCGTATTGTCAAGGGTAGAAACAAACGATTGATCGAGTCCAAATATTTGCCAAAAATAAAATATCGAAAAAGAAACTGGATGTATTTTCGTCCAGAATCTTCTAAGATGTTCTTCTGTGGATTTTTTTGCGACCCCGGCTTTTAGGATCTAAATTTTTTTCAAAAAATATGCTTACTTTCGCGAGATATACAAAAGATTGTAAAAATTTTAACTTTTTTCATAGGATTTCCACAATTTGGACTCGATCAGCCTCCTGTTTCCACCCTTGCCAACAGGGTGAAAAAGAGTGAAGGTACCCTTAAACGAAGAAGATTCGAAGAACTTTTTGCTTTTACTTATGTATTAAAATTTGTTGAAAAACTTGCTATCCCAGAAAGAAGAGATAATAAACAAGAGAGTTAAACTTTAAAATACAATTAAAAAAGGTTTCTTTATAAAACTTATCCTCTAATTTTTGTCCTTGATCAGTTAATAACAATTAATTTTACTTGTCTGAATGTATCCCCTGTATTATAATAGACGATTTTCAACACACACAAAGAAAAAGAGAGGATAGAGAAAATGAATAATGTTGAACTTTAATCAACGTAGTATATTTAATATGAGGAAGAAAAAAAAGAGCAAAATTAAACAACGTTATTCTTTTTATCCTGTTGAAACAGGTGAAGGTTTTTTGTTAAATCTGTTTCATAATTAATAGTGAACTTGAATTTCAAGGAAATATTAAGAAAGATACAATCGTTAGTTTTCACTTTTATTGAATAATTGTTTTTCATTTAGAATGAATTATTACATTACAATATTAATAATCAATTTAATGTTTTTATCGGTATTATGTACCAATTGTAACTATCATTGGCAATGTACAAAATACGAATATTGTCATGATTATATGTGTAAATGTCAACCAGAATATGTACTTGTTTCAGGCAAATGTTTGGGACAGTTACTGACAACGAGTAAGAACCCAAATTAAACTTCATTTCAACTTTGAACTAATAATTTATTTATAGGATCATTAGATTTTACAACAATGAGATCCACAACATCAACAACTATTATATACGATAGTGTGCTTGGTTACAGATGTGACTCAAATCAAAATTGTAATGGATTAGTAACGAGTGCCATTTGTGTGAATAGAATTTGTGTCTGTAAACCAGGTTATGAAGCTGATGGTATTATGAATTGTCGACCAATCACAGGTATGAATTAAACAATAGTCTAGATAAGCAGTCTGTTGTTTTTGCATATTGAGTGTTGCTGACCTTTAACAGTTTATTTTAAAATGACTTTAAAAAAATCAGTAAAATTTCACAAAATTTTCTTAGATATCATTGAAAGAAAACGTCGTCAAATAAATTCTGGTAAATATCCTCTTTCTTCTATTGTGTATGTGTATTTTTTTTTTAAAAATTTTCGTTCGATTAATTCAATTAAGGAATACGATTGTTGGGTGATCATTGTTCAACACATTCACAATGTAAATCAATTGCAACTGATCGTTCTAAAGTATGCATGTCAAACAGATGTTCGTGTACCGAAGGCTACTTGCCTATTGATTCATATCGATGTATAAAAGATTTTGGTAAGATATGATTGATCTAATTATATTTTAACATAATACTAATTTATGATTAACAGAACCATTAAGGACTACGCATTCTCCATCAACAGAAGCAGTTGGTTATGGATCGTATTGTCAACAGGATTTAGATTGTCAACGAAGTTCACTGTTAATGATATGTCGACAAAGTTCTTGTTTGTGTATTGAAGGATATGTACCATTGGGAAAATATATTTGCTACAATATGGGTTCGTATTTTACTGATTTTCAGATTGTGACTATAGTTTTATCTATTGCATTTAAAAAGGTGGCGAAACAGCAACAGCAACATCTCGACTGGCTGAAATAACAAAACGAATGCTCAATTATGAATCGACTATAAGTACGACTATGTCTAATAGACTTGGAAGCATATGTACAAGTGATTACTACTGTGAAATATCGATTGTAAATTCTCACTGTTACAATGGAAAATGTAGCTGCTTAAAAGGTTTTCTTGATGTTGATATTTGGACGTGTTCAGGTAGATATAAATTCTACAATCTAATTTGAATTATTTCACTTATTTTTTCCTAGAAGATAATAGTGTTAACAACCAAGACACCGAGCAACTATTAGTGAAAATAAAAAAGTCAACATCAAATATAATTTTATATAAGAGTCTGTTGGGTGGCTCATGTGTAAATACTGTCAATTGTCAAGGTGTAAATGCAATATGTGAAAATGGAGAATGTTCTTGTCGAAAAGGATATTTTCCTGTTGATAAATGGACTTGCCTGATGATTGATGGTAAGTGATTTGTACTACTGCACTCGATACGCTAAAATGTTACACATGTATATAAATTGATTATAGATAATTCCGATGATGAAATAATTCCGCAAACGGTACCATCAACAACTAAAATCTCTTGGTGGCCCTGGTCACCTACCACACATCGAACTCAAACAACGTTAGATTCAACAGTAAAGAACTTGAGTTGGAGAACAAAATGCGTAATAAATAAAACTTGTGTCACGGTTGATAAAAATTCTCATTGTGCACGTCGACGATGTGTATGCAATATTGGTTATGATTTAATCAATGGTGAGAAATGTGTAAAGAGGAAACAATTACAGAAGCCACAATCACGGACTGATTGTAATTAGAACGCATCATTTTTATCATTTACTACCGGTGAATTACTTTTGTAATTGTAGCATGTATAAAAACAATTTTAATTAAACTGAACAAATGAAAACGACTTATACTATGTCATTTTGACGATATATATTAATTTTAACCCACGGGGAAATTTTAATATATAAAACGGCATGTACAATATCGTGAAATGGACTGTGGTTGCATGTGAACATCGTAAAATGGTGTGTATGCATACATAAAAAATATATTCCACTTGTGACACCGCGTGAACTACTCACGGAAACTTTTCGCATCATATTTCGCACGTGGTCACTAGTGAAAGTCGTTACACATGAAAAGAAATTCTTACTTGTGAACGCGTGTGAAATTACAGAAAGTTGATCATGCATTTAATGTTGCAAGCACGACCTCAACGTCGTGAAAGTTGGACAAAATTTCTGTATAGATGCTGTTTCATTTTAGTGAGTCCAACCTGTAGAGGTGAACAATCTGCCGTCATCGATCAGCGGTGTTGGGAGAAAAAATTTTTTGACATACAAGTTCATACTATCTCGGAAGAGAAAAAAAAGATGAGAGACTTTTAGAACTTTCTAGACGAAAAATGCAGTCTCAAAACAGATAAAGCTGTTTTATCTTCAGTTTTTTTCCGAGAAACGTTTTGGCTCGGTAAAATCAACATTGCATTTCTGCTACATCTGTGACTTCATAGACACATTGACTCTGTGCGCCATCTTTTCACTTATTTTTACATTCTGTCTAAAGATCTTGTGCTTTAATTGAATATTCTTTGTTCAACGTGTTTGGCTTAAAAAGCATCTCAAAAGTTAACGAAAAAAACTTTAGTTACAAGAATTGTACATAAACTTTATCATAGCATCGGTATTATAGACCTTGAGCTTCGAGTTCGTTATTAATTTGAAGCAGAGCACAGACTGGACAACAAATTGTAGCCATATAATCCTGAAAAATGGATCCCTAGAGTAAACAATAAGAACATGAGATTCATCTTCTTACACAAGAGTACTATCTCTTCTACATACACGTATTCTGAATCCTGTTCTCAATTTCATTCTTAATGACATAATTGAGTCAGGCCAAAAGCAACAAAACGGCGTACACATAAATTCTCCAGCTCGTTCAAATACTCGGCAACAGAAACAGGGACAACAGAAATAGGCACAAAAACATGCACCACAGTCATTGCAACAACCACAGATATCTGCGCTCCAATCACCTTCGTAACCCCAAATTCTTGCTTTTAATGTGAGGGGTTTGGTTACAACGGTTTTTCTTCTAGAAACAGAAATATATTACTAACTACCAAGAGTGGTACAAAATGTATGTATCTTACGATGCTTGCATTTATTCGTGTTTTTTGAAAAGAAAAGTTAAAAAAATGTATTGTCGTTGTAACAAAAACGTTTCATCGTGAAACGAAGTACAAACAACATTTTTTTTCTTTTATGTATGTAAACAAAACACAAAATGGCTGATTGAACTTAGAATCGTCTTGTTTGACTTTTTTTAATTGATGAATATTATTTTTTCTCTCTTATTCAGTAATACAAGCCATCCGCAGGGTATTTTAAAGCCATTATATAACAGTCTCAGCACTTCTCTCAACATTTTCCGCTTCATATATATATCCAGCAACGTAAAGTTGACACTTTCTCAAATCTTTGTGATGGTCCCAGAGTTCTGACAAAAGCCCGATTTCTAAAATTTTAAGGATATCGTTTCTCTCTTCCATTACTGTGAGTGTTGGACAAGCAATACAACATTTTTCGATTCAGCTGGAGTATGGCGTTTTATTTTATTCTGGGAAAGGCGATGATTCGACAAGAAGAACAAATATTCTAGCGATGTAATCCAAGAAATTGTGAATTATTTGTTAACAAAAACACTTCTAGATTAACGATCGAAGGTTCAAATCTGTTGTTGTAGTTACCAAGAAATATTGCGTTTTCTTATTTATTATAAGGATGTTTAAAAAGAAAAGGCAAATACTTGCGCAATTGATGTGACTGCGTCTACTAGGTATAAAAAACATAAAATTCACATTGAAACAAGAAGTACTTCAAGATCTACCTTACTTAGAAATATTAAAAACATATTAATATAAAAAAAGATGCAGGTACAAAAATTTGTTGTAAATTGTCATAAAAAGGGAGATAAAAGAGTATAATTATATTAGTAGTATAAAAAATAGCACCTTAACAACTATCACTGTTAGTTAAACCACAAAAATTAATACTGTATAAAAGAAAACAGGTTTACTGAGATTTTTCGTGACTGATTTCGTTGTCCATGCAACATTTTGATCTGGCAAATAACGTAAAAAATAAAATGACTAAATTAGTTCCTAATAACCTTGTAAAGCTAGAGGACAGATGTTATGTAAAGAACAGAGCAAAGAGAACTCATTTCTGCTACAATAAACCGACTAAAAGTTTGTTCATCGTCAGTGAAGTATTTGAATTGACAAATGACATATAAATAGCGATAGTTTTAGACTAAGCAAAGAATATGAATAAATTAATAAAAACAATATTATAAACTGACAGCAAAATAGTTCATTATCCGAATTAATTCAGATCATTCAACTAATATTTCTATGAAATATACGCTTTTGGAAGAAAAGGTCAGACGAGAAATCAAATCGAGCCTATTCACAAGATTAAACGTATTGGCTTGAACAATAAGTAGAAAGAAAAACGCACTCGTTTTGCTATTGCACACAATTAAATTAATTGTAGAAGGAAAACGATTAAAACTTAGTAAACAGGAAGGATCACACAGTGTTTATTAATGATTTGAATGTATCAGCCATTCCCTTATTGATATTTCGGTTCTATCCATTTTTCTTGAACGTGTTCAACTTGGTATTCTGTATGATAAGGACGGCGTTGTTGATCCACAGGGACCTCTTCCGGAGGTTTAACGCTTCGGAAGCCAGTGACTGGCTTTTGTTGTTGTTGTTGCTGCTGTTGTCGTCTTTGCTCAAATATAGACATTGGTGCACGTCCAGTATCTTTAGCATCGCCCAAATCTTGTTCTAACATACGAAATGAACGTGATAACTTCGATTCAGACGATAATGGTTTTGAGGACGAATTCTGGTTCATAACAGCCTGATATGTCGGTGATGATGGTACAAATGCATTCGGATTTTGTTGTGGTGGGTATGGATTATTTGTACCACCACTAATCAAAAAAAAAGTTTGTGAATAAATTGTTGAATATTATCAATTTTAATTTTTTCTATGAATAAGTACCTTCCTCCTTTGATATCATCAATTAAACTTCCCGCTTGTGATTTGAATGCCTCTAATACTTTATCATCGCTATAAAGTCCAATTGGCGAATTGTATTGCGAATGAAAAATAGCAGTTCCTACGTTGCGAGGTGGTGCATTAGGATCGTCACGATAGGACTTTGGTCGCCATGGCTCTTTTACTGAAAAGCAAAAGCAATAACGATATTTCAACTCTATACATGTTATTATGATCATCCTACCTAAAGGATCTTTATTGTACGCTGTTGAAGTTTCGAAATTAGCTAAACAACAAGAACATCAATGTAAAAACGAATGTTAGAAAAACAAACTTTTTTACGCACTAAGTTTCGGTTGAAGATGACTTGGTTCCTTTGTATAGTCGCCTAAGAAAAATTAGAATATTTTAATAAAACAATATTAATGTAAATGCTTCATTACCTGGTTCCCAATTAGCTGATTTAGCTGACTGGTAGACGAGTTCATTTCCAACACGTTTATCAAATGGCATCGGAGCTCTGTTATGACTGCTACCAATACGAGTTGGTTCCTAAAAGATATCACAATTCTTTTATATTCATTAGCGAAGTAAAAGAAAACTCCTATTCAGCTCTATATTTATCAATAATTACTTTTTCACACTCGTCTTTACATACATACCGGTTTTTCTACTGCATAACTTTGTCTGGCCGTATCATTTGCTGTCGTTGGTATTTGCTGTACAGGTCCTGTTCGTAATTGTGATACTGACTGTGGCTTCAATGGTTGATTCGACGATGAAATGTCAACAGCACCCCTTTAAATAAACAAAAACAAGACACGTTAAAGAGCCAAAGGAACGTTTATTTTAACTTATTTACTTGACAATTATTAATTCTAAATCGTTTCCTGAGCGTGTTATTTCCATTTTTGCTTCTTGATGACTAACACTGGTTACGTTTCGTCCATTTATTGTCAGAACTTGATCTCCTGGTGCTAAACCCGATTGTTGAGCTGGTGTATTTGGGTTAACCTTGATTTAAAAGAAAAGATGAATATAAGAAACGTCTTAGATAAAATATTAGATAAAATACCAGTTGTACGGATAAAGGAATCGAAAAGTCGGCACCACCTGTTAATAGCAAAAAAAGACCAAAAATAGTAGAAATAATAATAGGATATTCCATTTTACCTTGTAAACGAAAACCCCAACTTTTTTCAGTAGAATCGCGTACCAAATGAACTGTTTGAACATTATTATTATTGTTGTACTGCATTTATGAAAATCTGATCTAAAATAAGAGCTTGATATCCTTGATAATAATAACTTCATTTATTCATGAAAAGTAGGATTCATCGAACGTTTCCGGTCTACAATAACAATGATTCAAGCCAAACAACAAAAACCTATTATCTGTACCGTCGGTTCATCAGTACATATATCTCTAAACTCTTATAATATCAAAAACAGTTGTCTTGTTACGTCTTTGACAAATGGATAAGCTAACTCTATGATAATTAAAGATGTGGAAAGGATAACTGCTGTATGCTAATGTATGATATTTATATCTCGGTCACAGAACAAGAAAATACATAATAGATGGTAAGAAAAAAAAGAAAAATGAGAAATGATATTTTTTACTGACATTTTTCATTGGTTTTGTTCTTCCAATAGAAATTAGCCTATAGTTTACCGAAATTAGTCCAAAAAGCGAGAAGATTGAGGCTGATTCTTCATTTTACTTACTGCAGTTATCAAAGAAAAAAGTTATCTTTCTTTTAGTTGTTAAGATCAATGTTTGAACTTGAATATGTGAATAAAAAGAGATGAGTGTTTGTCAGATCAAGCTGGGCGCCTTAATGTTTGAATATTTGTTCCCATGTTGTGTCCAACATTCATATTTTACGAGAAATCGTAGCAACACTGTCCAATAACTAGTGTTATTGGCTCCAATTTATGTGTGGAGCATCTTTTAGATCCTCTAGATGTCATATCTTCTCAAAGAATTATTGATTCCACAAAGTGGATGATAATTTGAAAAAAATCATTGAACAAGTTAAACAAAATTATACCAAAAAATTTCAATCTTTTCCATCTGTTATATACATATTAAGGATGAATTCGTTGAAACAGTAAGCACATCTTCTGTTAAGCACAGCAACTGGATATATAGTGCCCTTTTCTGCTAGAAATCTTTCTACAACTTCAGCTATAGTCTTCATCCAGACTAGTCTATTCTCATACCATTATTCCTGTCACCCGCACGCATGCAGCGTTATCGATTAGGAGGTGATAGGGGGTGCTTGACTTGGATACCAATCTTCGTCTAACTGAAAACTGACTCTCGAGGGTCTCATTTGGATACAGTTACTCAAAACATTTTGACTTACTCAAATTTTTTAAGAAATTTAAGTTGAGAAACTGCCTTTTATGCACCTGAGTGAGTGATTTTCGCTAGCTTCTGAGTAACTCATTTATTTGCTGAGAAACTTGCTCTTATGCACCTGAGTAGCTGGGTGAGTAACATTTTTTTCTGAATAACTCAGTTACTCAGAAAAAAATTTTAGTCAATAAATGTTATTTAATAAAAAAACTTTAGTTACTCAGCGGGCCACCACCCACTAAAACTACTATCGAAAACACTGCACGCATGACCTTTCTGCTTTGAAGCATTTCTCGTTGCCCTCACTGAGATAAATGAAGATTTTTGGCCCATTTTTATTAAGGGATCGATGATTATTTGCTGACTTGACGAAACCAAAGATAGTTTTGAATATGCTTCGAACAACGAAAGCACTTGTTTTTTGGAAGCAAAATATTCAGAACGATCACATCAGAAAAATTACATCCTGGAAAACCTCTATCTCTCCGACCGAGTATTTAGCGAAAATATATTCTTCATATTGTAGTTAAAATATGTCAACGTACCCCAACATGTTCAAAGAAAAAACCTTGTCAGGGTGGTACGTTCGATACCAAAAGGTGGAATTCTCTATACTGATCAAGATAGGTCAATAAAAATCAGCGAGAAATTTGCTTAGAAACGATTTGCTACTATTGTTTTATTTCGGGAAACTAAAAATGAAAAGTATTCATTTGTATCTCATCAAAAAAATATTATTTTCTATTTTCGCCTCTATTTTATTTCACAAAGAGGAATTATCTGTTATTGGTTTAAAGAAAAATGAGCAACGACGATACTAATAGTAGGTGCAAGAAGAGAAAAAGAAACTGTAATGAACTTAAGAAATGACAAAGAGCAAGAAAACAGATAACGATGAGGTAACTTGTGAATCAAAAGTTGCAAAAATGATTTCAGTTGAAGAAGGTGGTACTGATGGATCAACAATAAAAACGGTGTTAATAATGACTCAGAGGCAAATACTCAGTATAAAATCAATGAGAAGCTTAAAGAAAAGTGCGCACATCGCGTCTCCTTTGATGTGAATTAGAACTTTTGAGTAAGTGATATCTGGATTTAGAATTAGTCTTCTTTTAATATAGGTGCCTTGAGAAAATAAGAGAAAGATGGATTGAATGAGTTGTAAGCTGACATGTTGTTCCCGATCAAATATGCTTTTCTATCGATCAGAAAATTTTTTGTAAGATTCAAAAACTCTACGAAGGTTTGCGATGCGAGTACAAATAATTGTTCAAGCAAATATGATTTCTTCAAGTTCGACAGGAAAGGTTTCTCCAACTCTCCTCTAAATTGGTGAAAGACAGCCAAGAAAAAGGTTCATCAGTCAATTTTGTTCCTCTGCGCAACTGTCCTCCAATGAACTGGAATCTGATAGGATGAAACATAAAATGAATTCCAGTTATGTTCTGACTAGCCGAACCAGTATCATTTGCTGAGCATTTATTTATATTCTGAACAATAGGAATTCACCGCATTGAGAACGTAGGCTTTTAGTGCAAAAAATAGAATACGAACAGGTTATATTAAAATACAGTATATTTCAAACTTTAGAAAAGCACACAGTAACGTTGCCGTGACAGCCCACACCTGCCGAACCAAATCAAGCTCCAGTAATGCTCACAGTAAATTTGCCGTGTCCACTACTCCATTGCTAAACAGTGCTCACTTTTGACTGACTAACGCTTGATTTCCTTCGTTTGTAAACATGGCGCCTGCCAAAATATACCATTACGTCTTTTCTAAGCATGCAACAATCCCAAGCTAGGGCTCGTTGATCGGCACTGAATGGTTCAGTAACGAAGAAATAAGTCAATAAACAAGCAGGTTATTCAGTGGTCGCCCCTTGCATTGCGCTGCATGTTAAGTATCGCATGGTCGGGCAACTAAAAAAGAAAAGTACGTGAAAATGAGATAATAAACTTTAAACTTTTGTTAAATCCGCAAGAATCACCTGCAGATAACACACAAAAAGTCAACCGACTAAGACGTTGTGATCGACCGATTAAGAGGTTGTAGCCGTCCTCTTGAGAGATTGTGACCGATCAATCAAGAGATTGTGACCGATCAATCAAGAGGTTGTGACAGCCTAAAAAACATTCCCCCAATATCAATCGATATCACTCGATATCAGACAGGTACGTATGAGGTTGTGAGCTTTTTTTTTAGAGTTTGTGATCGCATTTTAGAAGGTTACGATCGAACGTGATATCAGATTTTAAATAGGTTCAAAAAAAACCATGATAACACCGTTTTTTGAGTATCTAACTGAAATTCAGTCTTCTACGAAGACTCACTCTAAAAAAATTTTCTTATTTCGATCTAAAATTGAAAAATATTAAGTTATATTTTATTCGAAATCCCAAGCATAGCTCGCAGGCATTGTGTCTGTTCGTGCTCATCGACTAGCGTTCGAGTGGCGATGTTAAGCGCCTTGACACCGGTTTCAAATGCCCCCTCATATCGATCCAGCTTTGAAAGTGCTAAGCTAATGTGATTGCCCTATATGACTGGTCATACGCATGAGTAGGTATGCACCAGTTACGGACCAGTTATTTTCAACAGTTTTTTGGGGCATCCTATAAAGTTGTTATAACGCGGGTATTAAGAATCGGTCAGACATGTGAAGCGCCTCATTTTGTAGACAAATTTTTGGTCTATGTATTTGTATGAAAGATAAAAAAATTAAAGCTTGAAAGAGAGAAACGTTTTTAACGAGTTACTGAAGAGGCACGAACAGTTATGTAACTGGTGACCAGTTATCACGTACAGTTATGGCATTTAAGAATGCTCATATTTTTATCACAATTAACTTTAAACTTGTTTTGTTTCAACAAATGCATAGAACAAACATTTGTGTACAAAACGAGACGTTCCGCAAGTCTGAGCGATTCTTATAACCGCGTTATAATAATTTTCCTGGATGTCTTAACGCCAGTTATATAACTGGTGCATGCCTACGCATGAGTTGTGGATCGTGGTCATTTGTCAACTTCAAATAAACACACTCGACTATATTCGAGAGAGTTTCGATCTTACAAATTCGAAAGACACTGCCCATCAAGAAGAGATATTCATTTTCTTGACCGAACTGACTGAGTGCATCGACTTTGGCAACTGCAACGTTGTCAAGTGATTATGGTAATTCGAAAAGGAATGCTGTTTCGCCACTATCAGCGACTGTAGTTCCGGCAAAAACTAGTGTCACATCTTCGTTCTTGCTTATCGAAAGAAAACTATTTCTCGAGAGCAGACCGCCTTCATTCGCACGCAGTTTATCGAAGTCGAATGTCGGCATTTGCTGACCTCGATATAATACAAATGACTCTGTCTCGTTGTCTGTATTGTGCAGTGTCGATATATCTTGAGTACGTAGCGCTTTGTTCAACATACGATAGAGAAAAGAATCGAACGAGTACCACCACACGGGGGAGTGCCGTCTATAGTCCTGTTCAAATTGATCGATGAGGTCGAGTTGACGCTGATTGTCAGGGTACCGGGCACGACAAAATTCGATCATATCTGACCGATCGACATCAGTCATATCGATAAAAACTTTCAGTAACTGAGCGAACGTAAATGCTGCTTCTTGCTTGTCAACAGTATCTTTTTATGCCGTTGCCGTCGTTAGAGTAGCATTGCCACTCGTCCCCTCGAAAACGAGAAGGCTGTGGTTGCATCGCTTCATGTCGAGCGTTAGCTGACCAGTCAGATGTGCGATTTCGGTACAGTATTTTACTTTGCGATGGTCTTTCATCCGTGGCGACTCATGGAACTTTGAGCTCAAAATATATATAGAATACAGTTAAGGAAAATCATGAAGTATAGATACGACATGGTCCATATTAGATTCGTTAATAATTAGAAAAACTTTCTCGTTTTTGATATTGCTCACAAAGTCCACACATTCATTTGGATCGGTGAATATCTCGAGAGTTGTGGCGACCTTCCGTAGATCGTCCTTCCATTTTAATATATCAATAGTGTCATCAATAGCAGAATCGAGTCGAACAATGACAAAATTCTCGATAATGTGTCGCAATATTGGATTACATTATGACAAACGTAGCTAATATATATACATAGATATAACATAAAAATATAAAAAATATAACATTTAGAAAAAGCTTTTGAGAAACAATTTAGATAAGACTCCACCTTGTAGCTTTTAAAAACTTTTCTAAAATAAATTTTTTTGCTTTAAAATGGTTTTATGGCGCAATAGACAATGATTTCTGATCACGGAGTAACAAGATGCATAATTTCCTGGAGAATTTATTTGTGTATTTGGTTTTAATACCTACCATTTTTGTTCCGTAATGTGATCGTTGAGTGAATGGATATGCGAAGTGGTTTTGACAACTGGTGCACTCTGAAACTTTAACTGCTGTGACAAGGACTCGCAATTAGTTTCGGAACCAAATATACAGTGATATTGAGAATTGAATTCAGTGTTTTTTTATTATAAAATAGAACCTAAGCATAATGCTTTAGTTATAGAAAATCAGCTTTAAAAGTGATCAGTTATTTCTGACTCATCCGCTACTATATCAGATAAAACGGCTATCGCTGTTCTGGAGTTCCACTACATTTCTCTTGTTTTTACCTAAAGCCGGCGGTTGAGCCAGCAGTTATATATTCCACTACTTTCCACGTAAAACATTTACGGCTACGTCAAGATAATACTGTTTCTGTGTAACTCTTCCCCTAAATTCCTCTGAAAGAGGAAGAACAAGGAGTGAAAGTTTGTAAAGAGAAAAATTGCGGGAAATCTGAAAATTTCCCCTCCCTAACGTTTGCAGATGTACGCGAACCAACAGACAATACTGAATATACATTGTATAGTCTGACAAGCCAACACGGCTTAGCTAAAGAAGAATATATTTGTGCAGAAACAGTGTTTTGAGAAACTATCCTTATATTCTGTAATCCGCTAAAATTTGAGCGAACAACGGTATAGTAAACGTACACACTCGGAACATAGATTTCATCCAGTCCCATCTTAGTCCATCACGTTTGAATGGAGGAGTTACACTTTAGACCCAAGGTATGCGCTGATAAGCTTTTTTTTCACGTTTTTAATTGCGTGTATTTATAGTTCCACTTATTCATTCTATTTGCCACAACTGAGTTTTTAACAGTTTCGATCTTGTTTATTGTATTAAATTTAAACATATTTTCTTAAAACAAAATAAAAATATAGGTTTTTGAACTTGTCTGCTACGCACATTTCTCGATAAAAACAGACTGTGTATCAATAACTTTGCCACTCAGAAGAACTTACGACCAAAGACTGCTTACATCACAATAGAATTCATGGAAAGCTTTAAAAGAGAACGCTTGTTTGAATATAGTTACAGTTTGAAAAAGTCGAATACAAACAACTGTTTGTTTGGGAACGACAAAGTTTGAAAATATATTAGTCTTAAGACATATTTCATCTTCGAAATTTGTGCGGAATTAGCTTGTTTTCTCAAATTTAGGCTTTTATTTCAGATTTGAAGTATCATAGGTTGACCTTCTCGACTTGAGACATCTAAAAAACAAGCTCTTAAAACGACCAATCAGAAAAGTATTAGACATTTAAGCATCTTAAAATCACACATTTTCTGCTCAGAGTATGTACATGTTTTACTTCAAAACTCAATTTTTCGCCGTTAAAAGAAGTGTGCCGAGGCTAAAGCAAAGTTATAAGTTATATCGGATTTTAGTTTCTTGATATTATCATCATATCATCGAAGGAATTAAAAGGATAACTGACTTTTACTTCCAAATTTTGAATCCAGTTTCTAATCACCTCTGCAAATTTATTAACAAAAAAAACAGAGTAACAATAAAAAGAACAAGGATTAAGAAAATACTGTATAATATACTGTACAAAAGTAAAATGGCTGAAAATGTAAGTGACATGTAATATTTTTCGTTTAAAAATGCAACAAAAGTCAAAGAACACAGTTTAAATACTTAGCTAAAAAAAAAATGAAATATCTATTTTCCAGCATAGAACATTCTCTTATAAAACACTCACAAATGTTGTTTAAAACTTTAGTTATTATAGTGACGAGAAAAGTAGTAGTGTAGAAGACCGAACTAATTTATTCACATTTTTTTTTTCTTGAGCTATTCAGTTTAAAAATGTATTCAAGAACAAGCACCGGGTTCTAATATCTATATCATAAAACATAAGCATATCACACACTAACAGATTTCAATTGTCCGTTTGTTGTCGTTGTATTATCATACAAACTATCTGATACAATAAGATTTTTTCTCGCTTCAATTCGACAATTATATGTTCGTTGACTCATTTTTGTTGAATGTTTAACTTTAAGAAATACGTGGTATGTTGTACATGAAATAACAATAAATACAAAACAAATAATTGCTATCATAATAAACAGTGAACCTAAATAATAATTTGTTTTTGATGGTTCATCTAATAAAAATGTTGTAATTAGTTTTTCATCTTGATAATGTTCGTTACATTCGTGTTTCCGATTAATGTCACATACATAAAATAGTATAGAATTTTTTGATGTTAATGCTGGTTGACCATTATCTTTAGCATATATTTCTAAACGATAGGGTGTAGGAAGATTTTTTCCATTATACAAATATATTGAACCATTGTTATATACATGAAAGTGATGATATGCATCGCTATTCGAAAAATAATAGTTTATTTTTCCATTTAGACCATCGTCCATGTCGATAGCGTAGACATTGGTAACAAACTCTGATGCTAGTGAATTATCAATGTCACTATTATGACGACGTATAAGTGATGTTGATGATGAAGAGGTGGAAAGTTCAATTGAACTTACATAAATAAAACGTTCAGTATAATTATCCACAAATGTTGGTATGTGATCATTTCGATCAATAACATAAACATAGATTCGTGTTTTACTTGTAGTACGATTTTCAATCGTAGCCATAACATAAAAATCATATTTATCAATTGTTTCACGATCCAATTCGTGTGTTACCTAAAAACAAGAATGCACTTGGTTATTATTTTTTATATTAAAATTTTACTTACTATCAACATTCCATTATCATTATTAATTCGAAATGGTAATGTATCTGCTTCAATTAACGTGTAAGTGACTGATAATTTATTATTTGATGTGCAATCCATTGCATGGACCTGTCCAATTTCAAATGGAGATATGTGTTGTTCAGATACATTAAAAGTATAGGATAAATGATCGAATAAAGGTGAACAATTATTTTGATTATACATATGAATTAGAATAATTGTTTGATCGAACAATGCTCGATTTTGTGTATTAGTTGCTTGAACAGTCAAATTTAGAACATATTCAATATAAATAAATTCTTTTAAATATATTGTACCGTTAGTAGAATCAATATCTACAAAATTAGTTGCTGTTACTATAGTATATTCTATTAGTCTTGATTCAGTTGAATTCGCTTCAACATGTCCAATTGTTGATCCTGGTGAAGATGAAATAGATAAATAAAAATAATATTTTTTTTGAGTAAAACGAGGTCGATGACGTATATAAAGGAACAGATGACGTTGACTCAATAATGGTGGTGTACCTTGATCATCTAAAAATCAAAAAAAAAATAAATCGTGCAATACAATTTTTGTCATTTTATATTTAACTTACTTGCTTGTAATACAATTTTGTACATATCATCTTGTTCTGTATCTAACACCCTTGCAATACGTATTGTCATACTATCATGATCCAATATTAATGGACAAATCATTGTTAATGGTAAACATGATAAAAGACTAATAGTCAATTGTTTGTTTATCTTCATACTATCATCATCTTTAACCAGAATTGTTCCGATAACTTGACCAATACTAATATTTTCATCAACAATAATTGATTCTACATTATCATTATCAATCTCTTTTCTGTTTATTATCTTGTAATTAGCTAATATATTAGTGTAAATTCGTGGTTCATTATCATTGACTAAAATTTATAAATTAAATAAAAATATTAAGAAAAAAAAGTTGACAATTTCAATTTACTTACCGTCTAGTACTTGTATTGTTACTGGAACAATACTATTTGTTATTCCATCTTGATTTGCTGCTTTAATACGAAAACGATATGTTGTTTGTTGTTCATAATCTACTGAACGTGTTAACATAATTTCGCCTGTTTTTGAATTAATTCTAAATGGTAATGCGACAATAGAATCCGATATTAGTGAATAAATAATAATTTTATCATAACAATCATCGTCAGTTGCACTAACTATCATCACTGTATCATTAACAAGGAAACTCTCATTTATATATTTATTATATGAATGCTGTTGAAATTTTGGTTGAAATTCATTAAAATCTCCAACAGTTACATTACACGATAATATATTTGATTTTTGTCCACCTTTATCTTGTGCAATAATTTTTAATTGATAAGATGAACGTTGTTCACAATCAAGTGTTTTTAGTACTTTTAAATTCAATTCATTATTAGAATAAATTAATTCAAATATATGATTAAATTCATTATTAACAAACGAATATTTGTCAATATTGTACATATTAGAATCAAGATCACGAGCTGTGGGCAATTGATAATGATAAAATGGTTGTAAATTTTCTCGTATAACAATATCAATATTTGATTGATCAAATATAGGTACAATATCATTTTGATCTTGAATAATTAATTGAAATATGACAATAAATGATGTTTGAGTAAATATACTCAATGACAAATCACATTGATATTGTTCATACGAACATAAATTTAGTTTACAAAATTCTTCACGATCTAATTGAGAATGATTGTAGGATAATATCGATGATGATAATTGAAAATAAGTTGCTGTTGTTGTTTTTGATGTTGTTGATAATGAAAATTGTAATTGATCAAAATAATTTGTTGTATTAACACGTTGTTTCAGTAAATCTATTAAATTCCATTTTAAATTTTCAACAGGTGCATTTTCGTGTACATAAACATTCAAATCACATATATCTTTACAATTATAGATAGATGTTGTAACAACAGACTGATGGAATGAAATAAACGTAATTAACAAAAACAAGACGATCAATAAATTATGCATAGTAGTAGACACTTTTTCTTTATGTTAACCGTCGCCCTAGTCCAGTCAAAACAGAAGAAGAAAATAAATCTTGTTTAATTAACATCTACCATGCCGATAGTTTAGTTTTTTTTACATAACATATGTTTATCTAGAAGAGAAACCAGTAAAATATATACATTGTCCTTCGCTATGAACAGTGTATAATAAAGCCTTAGAATACATTCTTTATAACTGGCCGTTTACAATTGATATTGGATCATTACAAAAAACTTTAAAATTTGATATAATTAGATAGATAGGATTGTTAAGTCGTCTACAAGTCCAATAACCAAATCGATTTTACAAAAGATTATGATATAGACAACATTCTATTTATACACAATATTTCTTTCCAAAACAAAGTGCTTTTGATCTTGAAGTTTTCATCAAGTGAATTTCAGCAATAAATTGCTACTATATACTATATATGTTCATCAACGATTTCTACAATATGCAATTGACTTTTAGTTCTGCTTGGAATCAAATTACTACTTAGCATTCTCTTTCTCTCATTTACATTACTGAATATAATAGTCACACACGATTGCATGTTATCATATTAGCCAAGAAACCTACGTTATTTACCATGTGGTTAATAACCGGTGTGATCATTTTTATAAGAAATTATATAGACATGAAATATACGTAAGATATGTATGTCTAATTGGATAGTACTATGACTCTTGATTGGCTGCTTGAAAGCGACTGATGGAATAATGATACCATAAATATCTGCTTGTTAAAACATGTTGCCGAAGAGAAATTTAATAATGAATGAATATTGTGTAAAAACAGGTTAGTTTAACAAGAGCATATTGATAAAATATTATTATATAAATATATTTGTTTTATAATATATTTGTTGTATTACAAGGAGCAAATAGAGAGGAAGAAAGATACAAAAATTCAATTTAAACATTGACTATATAGAAGTTACTCATTTTCCTGAACATAAACGTTAGACGTGGTATTATGAAGACAATTACCCAGTACTATTTCCTGTACTTTATCGCCTTCAACAGCATAAAAATCTCGATTTATGAATAAGTCGTATGACGGTTAGATAGGGATTGGTATTCGAAGAAAAAGGTTAGGAATATCTTTTGCAACACTTTACTCTGATAGAGTACACATTATTAGAATATCGCTTTTTTTTAATCTTTGATGACCACTCGAACTAGTCACAAAACATAACAACTGAAGATGCTTTTTCCACTAAAACAGAGCGTTCTTGAAACAATAATCATAAATTGACATTTTTTAAAGTTCAAAATGATTGTTAATAAGCTCTTATCACATATCTATCAAAAAAATGATTATGTCATCTCATTTTCCTTCCTTTTTTTTATTGTTTTACTCGACATAGATATGGAAACAAACAAACTCCGGTAAATCATGCTGAATGATGATGATGAAAGAAAATCTATCTAATGCAATTTTACACTAACAACTCAAAAGTATTTTTTTCTCTCCCTTAACACCTCATTCAGATTTCACTTCTAAGTTTTTGAGTATAATGTCCTTGAAGAAGAAAAAGAAACATTTTCATCATTAACAAGAAATTGAAGATAATTTTTTCTTCTTATGCTTCGATAGTTAAATTATCATTTAACATAAATGCACACAAGTCGATTATAATAGAAGTGATGCTGATACTGCAACTCCTGTAGAAACGCTTCTATCATTTATTATTACGTTTTAAATTCTTTTTCGCCTTCAGTGTATCACCATATGTTTATACGTGTCTATATTATTTTTTAATCAACTCCACACTCTTATTTTTGTCTCTCCCTCATTCTCACTATTGTTTATGTATGTAAATAGCTTTAAGGCATGTATGTGATCAACGAAGACAAACTAAATTTTTGAAAACTAGAAAATGGAATTGAAAATTTAATCAGTTGTACAATTAATACATAGTGTGTTTTCTCAGAATATGCCCTCATTGTTGAATATGTCTACATCGTCAAAAACGACATAAAGTTCTAGATTAACTAAACAAGTATCTAGTGTAAATATGTTGTTCTAGAGCTAATTCTATTGTATGCATGATTTTCATGCATTAATGTCTAAAGTTCAAAACCACATTCTACTCATGCAACGGGAAGTGGTAGATTACATTCAACTTACAGAATTTTCTCAAAATATGTAATATTTTAATAGTACAACATAACGTTACACCTCATTTTGTTTTATAAAGATTGTGATAGAAAAATTTAGGAAAAATAGATGAGAAGTTGAATATATTTTTAGTGAATGGAAATTTACTCGAATTTCTAACGGCAATTAAATTATGAGAAAAAGAAGAAAAATTGGGAAAATTATTTTTTATAAAGATAATTATCGATTTTCTAGAATTATAAGGGCAAAATTTTCGTACTTTACACGATTCTTGAAACTTAGTCAATCTCTCAAGTATAGATAAAAAGTGTCTATGAAACTGAAAATTATTCTTTATTCTTGTAAAATTTTTTAGAACATGACGAATTTCTTTAAGAAAAACTCCCGCTACTTACCAATGAAGACGATTTCAATTGATGAAAAATGATCGTGTATATTTTACATGAACGATAATTGAACATATTTACTAATGAGATGATGATGAGTATATATCCCATCCCATTCTTCTTTCTCTTTCTTCACTCTTATCTCTCATTATATATGCGTTTATTTATTGATATATCTCTAAGAAATGTTGCATATCAAAAACGTCAACCTTTCTTAATGTTAACTGCCAAAAATAGTAAATGAAAAAATATTCGCAAATATTAAAAGCAATGATTAGTGATTTTTTAATTCATTTTTAATGAACAACTATGAATCAAAATTTTTTCTTCGTTTGAACGTTCGTTCGTATATAATCAACAGAGAGAAACAGAGAAGAAGAAGACAAATTCTTCGTTCTGTTCTTTTTTTTTTCTTGCAACATCTCTCTTATAGAACTAGGACACTTGGATATTTTCGAAGATGAAGAACAAATGAGAGTCGTCACCAACAAAACTGTAGTTATTATTTGTATCTTTCGCTCTATACTACGTAATTGTACAAGAAAAAAGAGAAAAAGAAACAATATTTGTACAAGAGAACAACACACAGCAGCAATGTTCAGATGGAAATAGTTTGAAAGTTTGTCAATTTTTAGGTAAACTCTCTTTCTTTTCTTCTTTCAAGACTTCAGGCGGTCATCATTAACATCAGTGTCTGGAGTGAGATTGCGTGCAAGATGAGCGGAGGGAGGCGAGTGACTATTTTTCGCATAGATTAGTTATTAGAAGTATCAAATTGCGTTTAATCTAATTCAAATTGTTGGATAATCTTTAGAAACATGATTTTAATTTCAATTTAAGTATGGTTTATGTTCATTAACTAAGAAATCTCATAATGTAAGATTGAGTAAAATCTTTTTAAATCTATTAAAGTTACCCTATGGAAAAACTATCTGTGAAGTTTTAAACCGATTAATTTCTACAGTGAATTTAATTTCGATAATCGGTTGACTGACCATTTCTATATTTGGTTTAAACAGACACGTTAAATTATAAGTGTGATAAATAACATAATTTGGCAATATACACAGATAAATAATAATTTTTATAAAAACTTAATTAATTTATCATACTTCAAACTAAATAAAATTGTAATAATGATAATGAGAAGAAAGAAAAGTATATGTTTAAAAAAGCAACAAGTTAATGGTGTCAATGTTGAAAAAAATTTTCATTCATGCTTGTTTTACTTAATAATCGCTTGTCTAAACTCTAATGATCCATGAGATTATACATATATAGGCGCATAGAAAGATTTTTATTATTCGTTCTTTCTTTTCTAACAAAGTGATTTTTAACTGAACATGATTGTGTGTGAATTCTACACACACATATATATTAAAATGAAATAATAGATCCATCAGTTTATTTTGATCGAATGATGACCGGTGCCGGAATGTGCGTACAATTAATCAATGATTGTTAACAATAATCTCTTGTGTAGTTAAAAGAAATCAATTTTTCTATTAATAAACTGTTGCTCTTAATTGAATTCAATTAACAAGAACATCACACACATACACATACAATCATATCAGAAGAGAGACAAATTGTCTAGAGACATTTGTTACATTTTTATTTATTGAACATTGAATAATTGCGCAAGAATTTATGATAGAGGTACAGCTTTATTTATTCGAGTTGTCATTATTCATTTGACGCGTAGACTTATCAATATTTTCTAAATAGTACATATATATATATATAAACTTTGATCGATCGATCGATCATATTTTCGGAAGTCAAATACGGAAATATTCAATCTATGTTAATTATAATGAAGACACTGTTGTTTGAAAATGATAATTAAGTCGGTCGTATAAATTTTAGATATTTAACTTTGATTTGAATTAAATAGATACTATTGTCTAATAGATCAAATGGCATTAAAACATAACTCTTATAAAGAATTATTTTGTGTTTAATCTATAAAATCTAAATGTTATATTGCTTTTTATTCTTGTTATTATGTTTATCTGTTGTTCAAGTCAAGATGTTCAACATTTGACACTAATTATTGTATATCATAAACTACTTGAAGTTTCATATTTTCATTATGTCTCATGTCAATTATTATAGAAATAAGATATCATAATTCTAATGTATCTCTTATTAGTATCATTATCAATAGAAGAAATTAATAAGTATATACAAAAACAAGTATATGTAGTACACTGTTGTGATTGATATCGTAAAAAAAATTGAAGATTTTTATTATTTCTTGTTTTAATACTGTTATAGAAGCCAAATAAAAAAAGAATGTATATAATTAAATTTCATTTTTTGTTATTTTGGATGAAGAGGAAAAAAATGAATGCTGCTTTGTTCATTTCCGATATATACTTCAGACACGTCAGTTTAATCGAATATTATTAAAGTGTTTTAGGAAGTTAAACGAAGCACACACACACACACACACACACATACACACACACAAAACTCATAGTAGTAAAACTTATAAAACTGTCTTTTACAAGCTTATGTAACGAGAATGTTCAATATATTCTATCAAGTATTGTTTAAAATAAAAAATAAAATTATGATAGAATACAAAGTGTGTGTTCTAAGGACATGTATCCATCGTTCGTTTGTATTAAACAAATGATAATCATAAAATCAAATTCAAAACTTAATAAAAAAGATAAAAAAACGTATTTCAAACATTCTACAGTAGAATACCTGAAACTTGAAAATAATTTTCAGCTAAAAAACATATTACCATTAATAGTTAGATGTACATACATTTAATAGTTAGGTGTAATTTTGCTTTTATTATGATTTGTCTTTTGATACACAGCTTACAGTTTCTATATAGTTGTGAGTGTATATAGTGGAAAGAGTATCAATCTTGATATACTCATTCCATCTCTCTTTCTACACAATTACTAACTTGTTCATCTGTAAACAATTTTTTCTTCTTGTTGTGTTACATAATGCCAATAAAAAATTTTTCTGACTTATTCTCTAATTGTAGAAATAAACAGTCTCTTTCTCGTTGTATACACCTGAACACATCCGTGGACTACTTCCGGTAATAGTAATAACATCACACATATCTAAACATAATTATATACGATGTGTTAATACATACATCTTTCTTGTTTCGTATTTTCTTGATTGTTAACGGAATTGCTATTAGCTATGAAAGAATAGATAGAGAAATTAATACTCGAATAAATCGAATATAATTCGATTATGAATGAACGAGATTGTGCGCGAAGGTAGATTTGTTAACACGATTTGTGATGGAAAGATTACGTAAAAAAAACTAAAAAAGAAGAGAAAAAATAAATGTCCTTGGTACTATCTAGAAGATTAGTAAATTCACGCGGATACATATGTATATATGTTTCCGTTTGTAAAAGAAAACGTTTTTCTATCCTTGTATCACATTTTCATTCATCCACTCGTGTGGAAAAGCCAATTGCTCATTATTAATGTTGTACACTTTAAACTTTTTTTTTACATTTGAATTAAGAAAATTCAAACTATTTTAGATATTGTATCACAATATTCTTGAAATTTAGAGTATAATAAGCGTCTATTACGTTGAAATTGTACAATAAAATCACTAATGGTTAAGGACTAAATTACTGGAATATTAAAAGCACACCATGCATTTTTCCTTCATTCAGTTTCACGCATACACGCACACACATATAAATCTTTCTCTAACCGAATGGTGCTAGTGATTTCCTGCCTTCTTACTTGTAACTATTATGTTCAATCTCACACACCATATATCGATGAGATCAAAATAATGCTTTTTAAGTAAAAAAACTAAAATTAGCTTGACACACTAACAGATTGATTTAACTATGTTAAGTGTATCTTTTACAAAAGGAAATAAAACGTGTGAGAAGAAAAGAGACTAGATCACTATAGTATAGTCCAGAGAACTTAGAATAGTAAAATAGAAAGAATAAGTTAACTATCTCTGATGAATAGATAGATAATTCATTGATCCATTCAAATAGTAATAAATCAAAAATATATTTTGAATAAAATACTATGTTAGAAAGAACAATACATAGAAATTCTTCAGGGCAATAATGACTTGTTTTAGGAATTTTAATAGATTGTTGTTTATTAAAATTTTGAAAATCATCAGTTTATCATTTACTATGGTAAGTTTTATGTCTAAATTCTATAAATCTAATGTACTAATCATTGATTTATTAAATCTAAACAATCAAAAAACCTATGTGCAAAACTTCTTGTGTTAACGTCACATTCTCTATAATTGACTTATTATTAATGATGTTATATACAGACAAATACATCCGTAATTTTAATGGATAACCTGCCTTTCATTTCCGTTGTAAAATTTCGTCACTATTCTTTATTGTTCTATCGGCAAGAGATTAACAACCTTTCTCGTCGCCTCTATTGTATTCTGTTTGTTATTCTTTTCAAATTATCACAAAATGAGAGTTATAGTCAACTTTCCTTTTTCTTTTTTTAGATATGGATTAGAATGCAAACATAGTTTGAAATTAAATGATCTCATATAAGAGAAAAAAAAGAAAATCTTTAAATACATATTAGATTAAGCTTGTACTATGAACCGGTTTCGTGTGATCATTTCTTTCTTTAATCACTAAAACAAAAAAAAAGTGATGGTTTTTTATGGAAGGTAAACAAAATTAATTAAAAATCATTAGCAAAAAGAATGAACAATAATCATAATACACGAAATCCGACACAAATTAACAGAAGAGAGAGAGAGAAAGAGAAAGGCTTCAGTTCAATGATATCAAACACACACTAGTCAAAACGGATCCACGTGGATAAAAATTGGTCATATCGATATATAATATGTGTATCTAAACGCTGGCTTTCTACAGATGGACAACATACTTCAGTAGTAAAACTTCACAATTAACGGAAATTTTTGGCGTTTTACATTGATTAACAGCCTAACATTTGCTCTTAACGTATCTTAAACTCCGCGGACTAACCAGGATACGCTACAATTAGAAATTAGCCGCATAGTTCTACAATTAACGTAAACTCACAATAATACTAGAGACTAGGTATTTGTTGGTACCGGTACTGCTTTCGCGCAGTACCGAAAATTTCGGTGTTAGGTATCGAATGGTTCGGTACTTTCGGTTGGGTATCAGGGAAAGTACTGAAAAGTTCGATACCTACGAAAAAAATTAAGGAACGAGAGTCTTCGCCATTTAAGGAGGAAAAAGCTTCTTGTAAGTTCAAAAATAGATTTAGATAATGAAAAAAAGTTCGGTACTTCCAGTACAGTTCCAATGGTTGGTACTGAACGCTCGATATCGGTACCACGCAAGTACCGGTACCGACAATTATCTACTAGAGACTAGGACCTAACTTGCAGTTTATCCTAGTCTCGAGTTTCAGTCTTTCGTCTAGGTCAAATAAAATTCAGCAACACTTTGTTTGTACACGATACAAAATGTCTGCTGTCGTTTTCCGTGCAGACTTCTATAGCCATCTAACTAGTACTACCATTCTTGCAAATGAAAACGGTGACTAGTGAAAAAAGTCTCTTATTAGTTCGTGCACTTTTTTGCGTTAGAAAAACGCAATTGATTTGAATGACCGTTTTGGAGAAACTCAGATACAAAAAAAATGATTTCCGAATCTGTTTTTATTTTTTTTTCACCTTTTGTTTCTGCTATTAAGATATTTACTATTCCACATTATAGAAGTTCTAAAACTTTTATACAATCAATTATATGTTTTTCCAAGACAACAAAATTGCACAAAATAAAAGATTTATTATTTTTCATCATCAGTTCTCACACTATATGATTTAACCCTTTACACCCTAAGACACTTTTATTATAGCTTCGGCTGAAATATCCACTGAACTGAAATGTAAAATTTTTCTTTTTTATTTCAATCAAACGTAAAGTTATTGATCGTCTTAACTTAGAAAAAAAATTATCTTTTGAGCTAATGATTCATTCTTTTTATAAACCTATCACATCAATGCTCCTTGGAGAGGATCAGCGCGTGTAAAGGGTTAAAATTCTGCACTTTAACTTAAGATTTTTCTCAGTAGTTGTAAGTAGTTCCAAAACCGGCATTCTTAATGATTTGTTGAGACGTCGAAAATTCAGAGTCTGAGTATGTTGTGTTGAATAAAAAACATTAGTTATTCAACTACCGAAACAACTCTTCATTTCTGAAGAAGAAAAGAAACATCTAAAAGTTGTTTAGGTATCCATTTTATAGAATTCAAATTCAAGCGCTTTTTCCTGTTTTTATCATGATGTAGAAAGCACAAATGAACTAGTTGGCTTATATATATTGCTGTACTGTAAATTATACCGCATAGACATAGGCATGTTCGCAATTTTTAATGAAATATGTGTTCACATTATAAATTAAAAGTTATAACAAGTAGAATAACAACTCAGAAACATCCATTCTCGAGTTTGACAAGCTCTTTCATTTCGATATTGTTTTTGACAAGAAATATGATAAGAAAATAATCAGAATTGATATATATATCATTTGCAAAGTGATAATGGATTTTAATTTTTATAAAATATTTTTTTTTAACTAATATTCTCAATAAGATTTTTTTTTATTAATTTCGTTTTGTTATAAAATAACGCCTCTTCTTTTCTTTCTCTCGCTCAACGTTCGAGTGGAAGGCTTATTTCTTTCTTTATCAAAAAGAAAAGAAGAAATTATGCATCAGTGAGAAAAAATTTGTACACACCTTCGTTTCTGTTTCATGTTTTTTTTCCGTGTTATGATCAAAAATATTGTGTAGGAACAAGAGATGCAAGTACTTTTTCTCTTATTTCATCCTTGATTATGGTATCTTCGTGGTTTTTGTCTGTCGAACAAAGCAAAGTATTGCGTAGAAAAATATTTTAAAAAAGAGCTACAAAAATTTTTCAAGACTTTTCTTTTTTTAATGAGTAGAAATTTATAAATAACTTACACTAGCTCGAATGAATGATTTCATTAGATAAAATTGAATAGTTTAAAAGAAAATATAGTTATGGGAAATAAAAGTGGAACCTATGATTCATTATTAGAAGAAACAAAAGGACAATTAATGAAAAAAACGGGTAAGAGAAAACCTTTTTTCCTTGATAGTTGTCAGTAATCATAATAGATAAATAGATAACAATAATAGATTGAAAAAAATCAATATTAATTTTAGGAATGTCCGCGCATGATCTGGAAGTGTGGTATAAAGAAATATCAGTAAGTAATATTGTTTTATTAACATTGAGTTTTATTGTAAATTTAAATGGTATTATCTCTTGCTTAGACTCGATCCACAAAGGGAAAACTATCTAAAAATCAAATGATTAATATTTACAAAGATCTAAGTGATTTAGATTCAACTAAAATAGAACATGTTATTGATATATTAACAAAGGTGTTTGATGAAGATAAAAGTGGCACAGTTGGTAACAGTGATTCCATTTATCCTATTTATATATTTAGTTTGTAAAATAAAATAGAATTAATTTTTTATTTAAAGATATAAATGAATTTATGTTAGGATTTATTTTAACAACAAAAGGAGATCTTCGATCAAAAATCGATTATACATTTCGACTTTACGACAATAATAATAACGGTAAGTTAATAGAATCACAGAAAAATAAAGAACAGATATTGAATGATATAATAGTTTTATTTATTAATCTAGGAGAAATAAGTGGAGATGAAATACAAAAAATGGCAAATGTAAGTTTGTTTTCCCTGTATATATTTCTAATATAATTGTGCTGGATATAATCTGCCTTTCGGGAAAAAAAAAGAAAACACCCGAATAAAAAGGTATTTATTTCATCTTAATTTGTATGGAATTTTTGACAAGTTTTCTATTCAAAATTTGTTTTCTTCTATTTTTTTGTTTTCCAATTATTTGTCTTTAGGCTGTTTTACGTATGCTTGGAGCTGAGGAGAAGGATGAAACTTCAAGAGCAATTATTAAACAATTTTTAAATCAATTCACAGGTGGTGAGGATGGTATTATTAAAAAGAAGGATTTTATTGAAACAGTACTGAGAAATGACTCTCTATTAGCGTTACTCTCACCATTTTACGGTAGTTAAATGATTTCTATATTTCTTTCTTTATTATTGTTCTTCTATTGTAAAAAGTTTCGAACGCGTAGTATATCATTTTATACGTTTCTGCAATAACTCAGAAAACAAGCATTATATATCTTAAAAATCAGAAGTTTTAACACCAGAATAAAGAAAAGGCGTTTGACAAATTTACACAGTAAAGTGAAGAAAAAAGTTTTTACAATTTGATATTTTCCATACGACAAAATAGTGTTTTTTTTCCCCATTAAAAATCGATAAAAATTATCTTATTAAATGACAGTCATAGAAAAAAAAGGGTTTTTCCAGAATGAAATGAGAGTCTCTGGTTTTTTATTATTTATTGGCTTTATTATTGTTTTCAGCTAATTCAAGACAACTTTAGTCTATTCACACGTAAATTATTTTTCATATGTGAATTTTATCAAGTATAATAAGTTTTTTTTGGTAAAACGAATGATTACAACAGCGTGATGCCAAATAATGTTATAGGGATGAAGAATGGACGAAACACTTATTTCTGAAAACAGGCTACACAACAGAACAAAAAACAATTGTCAAAGAAAAGTTTATTTTTGTGAAAAGCTCTTTTATCTGTCACGCTCAATATAACAAAAAAAATAATTGATATTTTTCTACTTATCATTATGTTCATGTTAGAGGCAGATATTTGCGTGATATTTTCTCTTCTATTTTTTTCTCTATTATGTTGTGCTTTAATTATTATAGTTTTTTGTGCTCAATTTCAACATTTAGTGAAAGTATCCGACTCACCAATAGGAATGAGGATGAATTGTCGTTAAATAGTTGTTATTCGATCACTAGTTAATAATTAAAAACTTTTTGTAAAATTTTAATGTTTTAATGTCGTGCTTGTTGTATAGTGTAGATGAACTGTATGCTTGATAGTTTCACTTTAAGTGAAACTAAATATTTAATACAATAGGTAATTATTATACCTAATTGTTTTGTAATAAACATGTATATGTATTAGTCGCAACAAAAATAGAACAATTATTTGATTTCTACAGTCCACCAGCGACAAATAGTTCTTATGAAAAGAAATTTTTTGATGCTTTTCAATTGGACTGATTTATCAAATAAAAACAGCCGCGAATGAAACTGTATTCACACATTAAACCTACTTTCATAAAACATCAGCCATCGTTTTTGTTTTATTTCTTGAAAAAGAAAAAAACATCAACTGGCATGTGGGAGATCAAGAGATACTCTAAAACTTTCCAACTAGAAATGATTCAATAATAAATTTCAACTTTCTCAAAAATCGAAGTGATCAATTGTAATCGTAACCAATTTTCTATTTCTTTTGATCGTTGTAAAATTCTGCACTGATTTTGTGTACAATGATATTTGATTTCTACCTAAAACTTGTGTGTAATGAACAATAGTCAGTTCGATTACTGGATATGGATTTTATCTATAAAACAAAGATTAAATGACAAACATTGTTTTTAATAACACAGTGGACAAGCGTACTTGTCACTGTAATCCACCATGAAAAACTGAAATTCAATGTAGTTTCCACTGTGAATCTCATGATGAAGTGACTTTTGATTAAATTCTAAATTCTAACTGAAAATTTGCACTGTGACACTAATTTCACAGTAGAAAAGTTCACTATGGGAAAAACTTCTATAAAAAACACTGATGACATGAAAATCGTCGAGAGTTACAGTAGAAAATCCATTATGTAGAAGGTAGCAATGAGCAGGAGTAAATCGTTATTGATTTCCATTTACATGAATACTACATTTTCCATACTCTCACATTTAATCAAATAATATTTTCACATTATTGTTAATGTTGGAGAATTTGAGTTTCAAATTGAAAATTTTCATAAATAATTTTTTTTTCTAAATTAAGAGATATCTATCATTGTCAAAATCGATAGAAACTAAAATTGTAACTGTATGAAAAGAGTGATAAGAATGTGTATGTGAGAATGTAATATTTTTCTGCGAACGAAGAAAACAACTAAGCAGATTTTTATTGTATATTTGACTAAACTGTTCATCTACAGAAATGTGTCTGTCGAAGCCGCTCATATTATTATTGATTTTCTTATATGCAACAGACCAGATTACAGTTACTCATCACTCACAATCAGACGCTAAAATTTTTCTCATAAAAAAATCTTTTTCATTTGGGTCTTTATAGGACTTGAGAAAAGATATTTATATATGCATATTCCCTTACATTTTCAGATATGCCTGTACCAAAAAGTGAATGTGGCGTATTTGACTGTGATGAGCTAAGTGATAGCTTGTTATGTGCTGTTTGCGATTCAAATTTTGAAATGACCGAAGCTGACAAAATCAATAAAGCAATACCTCTAGTACCTCTAGTCAAGAATATCGCTGATGGTTTGTCTTGTTTCCATTGAACAGAAGTATTATGGCAAACTTCTTTCATTCATTCATACGTGTTTGACGTTTTTAGAAGTAAAAGTAGCACAACCCAAATTATTATCTGAATTAAAACTTCCTGATCGTTTATTACGCTGTTATGAACGAAAAGGTATCACCTGTTTATTTGGATGGCAAGGAGAATGTCTAGAGAGAGCGAGTATTAATGGTAAAACTATATATTTCTCCTTTTGAACAATTTATTGACTTAGCTTTTTTTTAAGCTGAACATAATTTTGTTTACTCTGCTCCGGCATCAGCCGGGAAAACATTTGTATCTGAACTGTTAATGGCGAAGAAAATATTAGAAAAGAAGAAAAAAGCAATATTCATTGAGCCATTTGTTTCGATTGTACAAGAAAAATCAAATCATTTCAAAGTAATTTTTCTTCTAATTCAGTTGTCTAACTGATTAACATTGCTGTGATGATAAATCATGCGCGTCATCTGAAGTATGATGATTCCATAATATTCTATTCAATATTTCTGACCAACTGTCATCATAAGCTAATAAAAGAAAATGAATTTTATCACATGCTTCCCGATGAGGGAGGGGGGGGGGTTGGCCCCTCCCTAAAAACATTTTTCGAGTTTCCGGCAAAACCTATGACGTTTTTCTACCAGCAGCGTTCTGCCAAAATTTTAAAAAACTTTTTTTCGTCAGCCGCTTTCTGCGAAGAAAATTTTTTAGCCCTTCCATTCCTGAGAACAATCGGAAACCCTGATCACATGTATAACAGTAAGAATAGTTGTTTATCTATTAAGGAATTGTTTTCACCGTTATCACTCGACGTTGGTTGTTATGCTGGATCAGCTCAGGGTGAATTGCCGTATGCAAAATGCCAGATTGCCATATGTACAATAGAAAAAGCTAATTCAATTGTCAACAGATTATTGGCAAACAATGAACTGGATGAAATTGGTACGCAACATTGTTCATTTCACCATGTTAATTTTTTTGCAATTTCCCTTATATGTAGGTATGATTATTGTCGATGAATTACACTGGCTTAGCGATCCACAACGTGGTTATCTTCTTGAATTATTGTTAACAAAAATCATATATTTTAATACATTACAAAAAACTCAAAGGTAAAGTTGGTTGTATCTTTATTAAATGAGTTAACCAGACTGTCTTTTGTTGGCGTTTTAGCAATATTATCAGAATTGTTGGTATGAGCGCAACAATTCCAAATTTGCCGACCGTAGCTCGATGGTTAAATGCTGATTATTATGAAACAACATATCGTCCAGTGCCATTGATCGAATATATCAAATTTGGAAATAATTTATACGATGCTGATATGGTTCGTCTCAGAAGTCTTCAATCATCTCAAATTCTTGATAAAGATGATACTGAACAAGTATCACAATTGTGCTGGGAAATTATAAAAGATAAACATAGTGTATTGATATTTTGTACAACAAAAGCATGGTGTGAAACATTAGCAACATTATTAGCAAAAAATTTTTACAATGTTATATATACACATAACTTACAAAAAAATCCATTTGACACGGAACAATTATCTGATATTTTTGAACAATTAAAACGTACACCAGGTGTGATGAACATATATTTTGAAGTTTACTATAGACTTTCATCTTTTGAATACTCCATTTTTCACAATGTTTTCTTTAGCTGGTCTTGATAAAATATTAGCCAAAACAATTATAATGGGTGTGGCTTTTCACCATGCGGGATTAACCATGGATGAACGTGAAATAATTGAAAATGGATATCGATCAAATATAATTCGAATAATTGTGTGTACAAGTACATTGGCAAACGGTGTTAATCTTCCGGCACGTCGAGTTATTATAAGAAGTCCACTGGGAATTAATGGAAAAGTGATAGACGTTGGAGCATATAAACAAATGATTGGACGAGCGGGAAGAAAAGGACTAGATGATAGTGGTAACTAACTTTTTTTAACAATTTATTACTACAAATTTAACTGTACCATTGCATATTAACAGACGTTAAAAGTTGATAAATAATCACTAATGATTGAACTGTTTTTTGCATGTGCTCTTGTGGAGTACGTTGATTTTTCTTATAGAAGACGTAAGATACTTTGCTGTAATGTTGAAGAGGTTTTATGTTTCAGTAGAATGGTATATTTTTTTATTTAGGTGAAAGTATAATTATATGTAAAAAAGAAGAAGTATTAAATGTTCAATCTTTAATGAAACAAGCAATGGTCCCAATTCGAAGTTGTTTCTATAATCATGAACATAAAACAAGTTTAAAACGTGCTTTATTAGAAATAATAACAAGTTCGAAAGCGAACAGTGCATGTGAAATAATATCTTATATGAAATGTACATTTTATTATTCATGTTTGACAGAAGACAACACAAAAGACAATAATCAAATGAAAACAATTGTTGACACATGTTTAGAATGGTTGGTACAATATGAATTTGTTATTGTAAAAAATATTAATAATGATGAACAAAAGGAATACGGTTCAATGGAAATTGATGATGTTGTTATAAACGATAAACAAATTAAACAAGTTCGATATGAACCAACACAATTGGCTTATGCATGTATTAATTCTTCTCTTAGTCCAGATAATGCACTTGTATTATTGAGTGAACTTAATAAAGCTCAAAGATCTTTCGTATTAGAAAATGATTTACATATATTATATTTGGTAGGTTTCATTCTAAGATCATGACAATTTATACGTTTCATCATGATATTTAATCTTGCCTATTAGATCATACCATTCAATCTTGTTCAACAACTTGGCACTCTTGAATGGAAAAATTATCATGAAATATGGGAGAGAATGTCTGTTGATCTACAATGTGTGGGAAAAACAATTGGTATTAATGAAAATGCTTTGTTTAAAAAAGCAGCTGGTCATAAATTAGACAAACGTGAATACGATGAAAGTCAAGATTGTTATCGTTATGCACGATTTTATATTGCTTTGATATTAAATGATTTATTATTAGAAATACCGATGAATAAATTAATAAATAAATATATGATAACAAAAGGTTTTATTCAAAGTTTACAGCAAGCAACAGCTGCGTTTACCGGCATTGTTGAAACATTTTGTGATCGTTTGGGTTGGGCAAATTTGAAACGTTTATTAAGCGGTTTCCAAGCAAGAATCAATTTTGGTGTTCGTGAACAGCTATGTGATTTAGTTCGAATATCATTAATAAATGGTTGGTAGCTCACTACGGTTACACTACACTTTTAATAGCGATTAAATATAATCACAATGAAGAATTTCTTAGTGTAGTCTCAAAATTTTGGTCTGGCTTGCGATTAAGAGTGCGGTGTAAGCGCAGTATGATCAATGAGGGTATAGATATCTTGATACGCAATTGAAAATAGATCGATGTTGAACATTAACACTTTGAAATTTTTACGCTATTTCAAAAACGTTTTTCGTTCAAGAGTATGTTGCTCTTATTACTTTCTATGATAAGTTTCTTAACAAACACTGAACAATCCGTGTAACAAATTCAAAGAAATCAGTAATTTCTTGAGATTGATCTGTAAAAATTGTTCAATGATGCGTTCAACTAAAATTTTCGAGTTTTAGTCTTTAATTCTATAAAAATTCTTAATCACGTTTAGTGTTAATTGAGACTAGCGAAGATTAATCATGCTTAACTTTCATCACGATTAAGATTGTGAGATTACACTGGAAATTAGTCGTGATTAAGAACGTATTGTGATCGTAGTGGTGGTAATAAATGTTTTGTATTATCTACAATTATTTTTGTTTTTCTTTACAGGACTTCGTGCACGATATTTTTATGAAAATAATTTTAAAACTGTCATGTCAATTGCTAATGCTGATGTTAATGTTATAGAGAAAATATTACAAAAATCTATACCATTTCAAACGTAAGTACACATGACCGTCAGCCTTTAGATAAAGTTTTTCTTGTTTTATTTTAGTCTCGCCCAAAAATATTTAGATGAAAATATTGGTCAGAGTCGAAACTATCAGTGCATATTTGTGCCTGGTATGAATGAATATTTTTTGACATTCAACTTTATTAAAGTCAAATATATTTTTTCTCCTTTAGGTCGTGCGCCACTAACAAATTCTCAGGCAGCAGTGGAAATACTCAATGAAGCAAAATCATTAGTTAAAGATGCATTGAACGATTCTGGATTTAAAATTGTTGTTCAAAAGAAAGGTACATGTATTAAGACCAAAGTTAAAAATATAGATCGAAAATGGAAAATTATTCAGATAAAAAGTGAAGCAAAAAAGATTTTATTTTTAGAACAAACACAAGCAGACGATAATACATCTGATTCAAGCGATGATGATGATGAAGAAGAAGAAGGAATAACAATTGATTTGGTTGAAAAAGTTGACATACAACTTATATCATACATGAAACAACAAGAATCTATTGATTTTTCCGATCTTGTTAAGGATAAATCAATCCGTATTCGAAACTGTTACATTGATGATTTCGATAAAAATGGAAAAAAAATGCAAAAACTTTGTTCAAGATTTGCATCATTAATTGAAACCAAAACAACATTTTCCATTGCTTGTTTAACAAAAACGCATCGAATTCTAAACAGTAAGACATATCCGACAATCACAAAAGAGACTGAATAATCATTCTGTACTATTTAGATACGAGTAATTTTTGTATAAATCAAGAAAATGAATTGAAATTGTATTATGTTGCTTGTGCATGGAGTATCCATAAAATCTACATTATATCGATTGAACAAGATGAACAATGTTTGTCTGTTTTGTCTCTAAATTGATATGATATAATTTTTCCATTTTTTTCTATTTCAGTTTATAACATACATAAAATGTCAGCATTGATGTACGTGAAACGAGCACTATTGAATGATCAAACAAAGTTAATTTCATTCAGTTGTTTAAATACAATGTTTATGTTGTGCTCATATTTAGCTCTACCACGATGTTCTGGTAAATGATTTAAACAGTTCTCTTAAGTTTTTCATTGAAAACTTTTCGGCTTGTTCGCGTAAATCCACTATGTTTTCTTCACATTGATCGTGCTGTATTGTGGTGACGAAAGTTCATACAGAGTTCGGAGACATCTTATTTTAAAGAGCAAACATTTTTTAGATAATTCCTGATAATTTATAGACTTACAGATTTGAGATCGCTAAATGGAGCCTATATCGTGCTAGTGAAGTATACAGTTTGAAGCTTGTATACAACACGAGAGAAACTATCAATATTTCTTTTCTCATCACTTGAAAGAAAAATGTTTACTCTTTAAAATGAGACTCAGCGCTGTGGTAGAAACTGTCTCTGAAGCACTGTGATGTTGGAAAAAGCAGCACATTTATGAAAAAGTTAACCGGGTAGATCGTATAATTCTATCTTAGTGAAAAATCCTCTAATATTTTAATGGTATGAGTATTATCTGTCGAAAAATTCCTTCTAACTGCTTTGTGATGTTGAATGAAAAGAATTTCAAGAAATTTATATTAATTTTTAGCATTACTAATTGATATACAAATTTGTGCATGGTTAACACAAAATCTCATTTCAAACGATCGTTTACGACAGTGGACGCAAGACAATATATCATTTGTTGATGTTGATGGTAAATATGATGAAATCTATGGTTAGATTTCACTCATTATCTTCTTTTTTCATCTAGAAACATTTTCAAATATTGCAGAAAATGATAATGTAAATATTTCTGACTGTAAAGAAGTAGCATGTGAAACTTTGTTTTGTTTATCACTTGTAACGAACTTAGAAACTCGTTTACGTCAATCACAATTATGGATGTACTATAAACGTATCGAAATGCCATCATTAAATATAATATTAAATATGTTATTAAATGGAATTCTTTTAAAACGTGACTATTTATTCGATGAACGAGAACATTTATTGGTTTGTCTTTTATTCTTTTAATTAATGAAATAATTACTTTTTTTATTTTCTTGTTTAGAAATTGTTGAATCAATTAGAAATGCATGCATTTCGTTTATTAAAACGTCGTTTTAAATTTCATTGTCGTAAAGATCTTTTAAAAGTAAATTAATTATTAACGAGTGTTCCAGAATTAAAAATTTAAATTTTAAATTTTTTCGAACATTTCGATGTTTTTTCAGTTAAGGCAGCGCAGCGTCTCAAACGTTATGATCATCTTCTATACACCATTTTCTAGAAAAATGAATGGAGAATCATTTGGTAATAAGATGAGCTCTGTGAGTTCAAAAGGAGAGGAGAAAAACTGAAAATAAAACCTACGCCATTCTTTCTGTAACACCCGTTATCATTGAAATAAATTCTTTTTCTATTGTTACTATTCTCTTTAAAAAAGATTCTTTATGGTGAATTAAATCTTCCTGAACAAAGAACGGCTAGCGGTCGATTATCAACAAAAAAGAGATATTTAAATATATTAGCATTATATCATCCATTACCGCAAATAATTAATGAACATCGTCAAATCAAAAGCGCACTCGAACGATGTATCGATGTATTTGAACAAGTGAAATATTTTTTTTATTTATGTTTTTCCTAATAATTATTTTATTCTCTATCCTATATTTAGTATTTTAATGATGCAATGAAACCAACACTTCGTTTTCAAAATGAACAGCAACATCAACAATATCAATGTCTCCATTATAAATGTAATTTTTTAACATCAACTGGACGAATGACGGTTACTAATCCACCGTTACAACATGTACCGAAAACATTTTCAATTAAATCATTGAATGAAAATAATACGGTTGAACTTCGAAAAATGATTGTGGCAAGAGATGGTAAGAGAAAAAAAAGAAAAAAAAAATATCTTTTACATAATTAGTCTAAATGAAAATGTTTTGTTTTAGGTTTTAAATTAGTATCCATAGATTATTCACAGCTCGAACTGAGAATATTGGCACATTTATCTGTCGATATAAAATTACAAGAACGTTTGAATGATCCGAAATTCGATTTTTTCATGTCATTGGCTTCTCATTTATTAAACAAATCTATAATTTCGGTAACAGAAGATGAACGTCAAAATGCAAAACAGGTATAAGTGAATATTGTTCTAAATAGGTACCAAAAACGATTTATCGGTATTTGTTTGTCAATTTTAGATTTGCTATGGAATTGTGTACGGAATGTCTACTGAGACATTTGCTAAAGAAGCAAACATGACTCAAAATGATGCTGAAACATTCATAGAAAACTTTTATCAAACATTTCCTGGTTAGTATTTAAATTTTAGATCAATTTTTATCCAAGTTTAATGAATAATATTGTCAATTTTAGTTATGAAAAAATATCTTGATGATTTAAAAATTCAATTACATTTGATTGGTGAAGTTAAAAGTTTATTTGGTCGAAAAATGTTGTTTGATTGTTTTAAATCATCCAGTATACAATATAAAGCTCGTGTATGTGAAATTAATTTTTTTGAACGTCTCTTAATTTGTCTGATGTTGATTTTTATGTAGATTGAGCGTCAAGCAGTCAATTTTGTTATTCAATCTTCAGCATGTGATGTGATGAAAATGGCTATGCAACGTTTAACACATTCACTCGATCGAGAATATCCGTTTGATGTAAAATGTATGAATGTTTACTTTTTTAATTTCAATATGAAAAAAAAATATTATACTGTTTTGTTTTGCTAGCTCAAATTTCTCCACCTTACTATTTGATATTACAATTACATGATGAATTATTATTTGAAATTGACGAACAACATTTAACTAAAATAATTGGTATCATTCAGTCGGATATGTTATTAAATCGTCTTGATTTAGAACTTCCTGTTAAAATTAAAGTTGGACAAAATTGGGGACAAATGAAATGTTTCAACAGTGAAATTTGAGCATTTTTGTGCTTGTTATTTATATTTTTTGTATAATAAAAAATATTTTTTTTAAAAATGTGAATTTGTTAATATTTGTCTGATATAGAATCTTTCTTTCTTGTTAATTTTTTTCGAGCTCGTTTTTTTTTCGAATGTGTTTCTTCTATTGAATGAATAAAAAGAAATTTAATGTTACAAAAGGTTCATTCATGAGTCACGAATGAATTGGACATTTGTGTTTGTATTCTATTCAATGCGGCACGCGTTTAAGAGAACAAAACCTGAAGTTTCTCTATCTATTTTATACTAACCGGTAGTTTAGAAGCAATCCAAAGTACAATATTTTCATGATTTCACTGCTGGTAATGAACGTTTTATGAAAACATCGTCCGAGATTACGAACAAAGCAAGTAATCAAACATTACTGGTGCTCTCTAAAGAAAATTCGTAGCTTACAAACGGATATCAGTTTTGACATTTGCTTCTAATAGAAACTGATATCCGTATCGCAGAATATTGTTTAACTTCAAACCAGAAGCGACAATTCTGAAATCCACACTGATTCATCATTCATTATGAAAAAACAGATCAGTTTTCACATGCAACTCGAATTTTGTAACTATTTAGCCATGTATTAGAATGGAACTGAAAAACATCACATATTTGTTTCAATGACTCAAAGCGGAAGATTTGACGATCCCAGGTCGGTCCGTACATCCGTCGTACGCGCATGTCACGCTCTGGATACAACGAGCACGTAACGTATGCGTGCATCATGCGTATTTACTGTACAAAATGCATGTCATGCGTATAATGCGCACCGTGTACCATTTTTACAGGTTTATCATAGACGTCAGATAAACATGTTACTATGGAACGGTAGAGAGAGAAAATCATGTCACGCTCGGTACGGGCATCGTGCATATACGTTCATTACGCGTACCAACCGTGATGGACGTCAAGCGTACGTGATGTACGCGTACAACTGCCGTATCGCCCGACTTGGGATGTAAAAAGAAACGGTGATTGCTATACGAATCAGAACTCTTTTGTACGCATATTAAAAGAAAGTTCTTCGTTCACATGATACATGTGCCGTATTTGAATTCTAAACAAAAGGAGAGTAAACACATGTCTATGTTCACAGATTTTCTAAACCGTTATGCATTGTCTGAGGCAACGTGCAGCTTAATTTGACTCGGACACTTTCAAATCCATCAATTTGAAAAATGCATGGAGAATATATGCACGTAGACACGTGTTTACTTTCCTTTTGTTTGGAATTCAAATACGGCACATGTTCTGCAAACGAAGAACTTTTCTTTTAATATGCGTTCAACAGAGTTCGTATAGCAGTCACTGTTTCTTTTTACATCGTCCAATATTCTGTTTTGAGTCAAAATATGACTAAAGTTGAAATATCCGAAATAGGCCGTGATAAACCATCAGCTTAATTTCAAGGATATAGTACCCAATCAAAAAGAATCGATCTTATGGAAATGCCGAGAATATGGTTGTCCCGCTCGCCTTAACACTCTTAAAGACTATGCAAAACTAGATTTGAGTGAATAATTCTTATTATTATAACAGAGAAGCTTATATTATTGTAAACGCATTTCTTCTTAAAGAACCACTTCCATACGCTGCTTGAAGCATCTAGCCAAGCTATCACTGATTCACAAATAGCAGCTGCACTACTGAATTTTGAAAGTCTCCGGCCTGTATTATATCCACATAAAGGAAATAAAAATGAACCACTGACGCCAACATTGTTACGAAATTTCGGATAAATACGGAAAGTTGTTCACAGGAGAAAATTTCTTACAAGTTCAGATAAGATAAACCTTTCGATTTTAGTCACACATTATGTCGTAATCTTCAAAATATCGGTTTGCAGCAAGAGTATGTTGATGATGAAGCTGTTCGAAAATATTGTAAGCTAGATTATTTTTGAAATTAAAATAAAAGATTACTAACCACTAAGAATTAATAACAAACAGTGGTGACAGAAACGGTTCAAAAGTTTCAAAATATTTTCAAGAATTAATTGTATAATTGAAAACGCATCCAAATAAGATGCATTAAAATAAAATGCACTTAAATGAGAAAGCACCCAGATGAGTCAGTTGCATCCAAATGAGACACACTAAAATGCAACGGGCGCAAGTGAAGCTCCATATGCGCATTATACAGTACAAATCTAAGAGATAATGTTATGTTACACTTACAACGTTCATCAAAATTAATTAATGAATGGAAGTACGAGTGCATAATAATAACAGATATTTCTATCCTTTTAGCAGAAATAATTATTTTTATTTTTAGAATTAAAGTGGTTAATCAGAACTATAATTATTTGTCTCTCTAATCTTTGGGTTGTACGTGTGATATGAACCTAATCAAGATAAAAGTAGATGTTTCTGCACGATTAAAAGCAAAAAATGACTAAAATATATTATGTATCAAGTATTTCAGGTAAAACAAGTCTAATAAATTCATTTGGGTTTTCGGAATGTACCCAATGTCCAGCGTTAGCAACTTTTATCAGTTTATTTTGTGGAAATAATTTGTTAATAATTGGTAGAGACTCGGCACTAAAAATAAGACCAGTAATAAGATATTTTTTAGACTCTTTATTATTCGATAATTATTTACCTAATATAATTTGATTTTTCACCAGAAACAAAAACTGTTTTCAAATTATCGATTGATTGTTGATTTTTCATTGATGGAAATTCCATTATATCATTTATATATTTATTAATTACTGGTAAATTAGCACGCCACACAAATTTTCCATTAGAATCTTGTGTTATTAATGTTAACAAAAAATCTCGGATACCTTTATTCTAAAATTAATATAGATTAGATCAGTGGCGTAGCCAAGTGAGAAGTCGAGGGGGACACAGGCTTCTCCCTCACAAAGTTAACTTGCACTGGAAAGAATAGAATAACATATCAGCTGTCAGCGACATGTGTTTATTTAGTCTTCTTTTTACTCTAAACCTTCCTAAAAAAAATGTTGGACCCCTCCTTGAAAAGATCCTGGATACGCTACTGGATTAGATACTACTTTTGTATCTATTGTATTGTTCATCACTATTCTTTACTTTTTTCAACGATTCAGCAGATTCTTGCAATATTAAATCCATTTTTTTTCGAGCTTGTAAAGTATTTTTTGCATCATTAATACAATTCATATTATCGAGTAATATTTTTGAATAATTCGGTATTTCATCAACTGATGCACTCGTGTGTGGAGCAATGTCAACTACAATAAGTTTTTGTATTAATGTAGGCTAAATAAATTTACATATACGTTCATTTGTAATTATTATTAATAGCCGTTTTTATTTACTTGTTTAAGTGCGACCATCATTGCCGCTTTTCCTCCCATACTGTGGCCCATAAGAATAGTTTGTGCCGTTTTATATTTTTTTACTACTTCAAGTAGATCATTGGCCATATCATCATAAGTCATAGACTCTGTATGAGGTGAATCACCATGATTTCGAAGATCGACAGTAACAACCTGAATAACGGACATTTTTTGATTTTATTCTTGTATACATGATTGTGCATAATTACCTTTAATCGACCACGTTCGCTGAATGCTTTTGCTAATGAACGCCAATTGGTTTTAGAGCCAAATAATCCATGTGTAATAATCAAACAACGATTAGTTGGTTCATTTTTTGATTCAAATACATCTTCAGCAAGTACCACTGCTGATGTTTCAGAGCTAAATAAAACCAAAAATAAATAGTAACTATTTTCAACTATCAAGACATTCTAATACAAACCGATTATGGGCAAAACATTTGAATATTAGTCGAGATTTATTAACATATTTTGAACAATCTAAAATAGATCTATTCATCTGTAAAATGACAAAATAAAGAATTATGAGATGTCACCCCAAACAATCGGTTTTCATTTATATGTATCGTTCTTCGCTTTACCAGTATGTCTCTTCGTTCTGCTGTCTATATGAGAGATAAAGTAAACAAAATATTTGTTTTGGTTGAGAATATTTGATCAAAGAATGAGTCTAAGATATCTCAATTGTAATCGTCTGTAATTATCATATGTTAAAGGATATCATCATATCGAAATTTATTGTCGTACCCAAAATTGTAATCGAGACTTCTCCTTCATTTTAATGCCCTTACCGATTTTTCAATATTTTCTCACGCATAAAACATACATATGCGACCAAAAGATGATTTTATAATTGTATTTTTTTTTCAAAAATTAGAAAGTTAGTTGAAAGATCAAATTATTCGGTCAATAACAATAGCAAAATAATCTGTTCGACTTGACAATGGATCCAATGAATTTAAAAAATTCAATTTCCATCAAAAATGATGTTTTATTTTGTTTTAATAATTTCAAAATTTCGACTAATTGTCATATTTATCGAAATAAATGCCCACATAGATAGTGATAAGATAGAAATGCTTCAGTAGTGGCAGACAATCGTTCAGATCCAAACTAAAAAATCCATTCGAATGTATTTATAAGTGAATGAGAAGAATAGATTTGAACAACAGGCGCAGCAAATATGATATTCTGAACTACTTTGTCGATATTTTTATCAATATAATCTTATAAAAATATTTATAAAAGTGTATATCTTATAAAAGTGTACTGATATATTTCACATATTCATAAATATTTCTAGATAACTAATACGGCTGTAAGCTTGAATTAGAATAAAAATATTTATTACGCAAAACTTATTCTATTTTCAGCCATAAGTAACGAAATGTTTCAAGATTGATATCTAACTGCAATGTTCATTTGACAAATGATAAATTATTGTCGTCGGAAAACATAATTCAAATAATAAATTAGTGTGACAAAATAGAAAATATAATTGAAAAAAGTAAATTAGATAATAATATGAACAAAATCCTTCTTTATTCTTTTGTCATTCATCATTATCGTAACAGGAACATATTATGGTGAAAAATTTGCTTCTGTCTTGAAAATCGACGAGTTTCTAGAGACTCAAAGTAACTGATGACTCTAGACATCAAAAACAACATGAAACAACTTTTTCTTTATTATAATTCGTTGACTCTGTTCAGTAACAAAAAGAGAATAATTTTTATGTAACGAATATTCGACTAAGAATCGATGAAAAACTGTAAATGGAGAAAGAAACACTGCCATAAGTGCATTTTGTTTTTCGCTCTATTCAAAAGAATTCTTCAGTACAATATAAAACACAAATATGTGGATGAAAATTGTAACACGTTTAGCACTTAATCTCTCACATGCGCAGGTTTAAATGCGACATAATAAAATAGAGAAGAGAAAAATAACCATTTGAAATAACAATAAGTAGACGAGAAAAAATGAAACATAGCGAGAAAAAAAAGCACGTTGATGTTGTTTTCGTTCGTTTGTTTCCTTTTATGCTGTTTTTGCACGTGTAGCTGCACGTTTCCCAACTTGGGCTTGAAAACCTGTTTTAATTCCAGATACGAAATATCTCGAACGACAATTTGTACACTGCAACACAGATAAACGTTCTTCTTTTTGTAATAGTGTTTCGGGTGATCGACACGTTTTACATATAACATATTCCTCTACAAAGAAAATGTGTTTGTTTACCAGAATATAGCAAGAAGTGCATAATCAACACTTACTAATGTATGATCGTAATACACTTTCGATTTGCTTTTGTTGAAAGCGTCCTTTAATCGTTAAGGCATTGTTAGCATCAACAGAACCACTAAACGAATACAACATAACTCAATAAGTAAAACAACTCTTTTAATAATCCATCGGTGCTTACGTAGTTCCTAATTCAGCTAACAGATATTGATGTAAATGTTTTTCTTGACGTTTTAAACTAAAAATAAAACGAAAGAGATCGACTAGAATATGCTCTCCTCTAAAATTCAATGCCACAACTTACGATTTGCATATTTCACCAAAATTTGAAAATGAGGTTCGTTTCGTTCCAATACGTGCTACTTGTGGTGGTTTTAATGTTAATCGTATTTTTTCACGTGCATCCATATCAGGGTTTTTCTCTTTCATTATATTAAATACTCTTGTTAATAACTAGAAGAAGAAAAGTCTAACTTCTGTCGAAAAAATTGAACGATGTAATGATTCTACCTCATCATAAGAATAATCCCCACCAGAACTAACATTAGGAACAGGTGTTGGTTCATCTCCTGTATCTTTCTAAAAACAGAAAAACGATTAGGTTTGAGTTTAACAAAGGTTTTAACATACCTTAGTATCGTCAACATTTCCTGTTGTTGCTTTCTTCTTTTTCTTCTTCTTTAAAAATGATAACTCATCTGCATCATCTTCTTCGCCCGCTCCTGGTGCTGCTGCTGATGTATCATTAGCAACTACTGGTTGATGTTCAGGAGGATTTTCTTTATTCTAGAAGAGAACAGAATAGCAGAGGAAAATAAGTATGAAATAGCAATATGATTGAACTCTTACCTCTTCACCTTGATCAGCAAACGCAACCGATTTTCCTTTTTTCTCTTTTGTTACTGTTGTAGGGGTTGTTTGATCAGTTGCATCACCTGTACCTTCTTCTGGAGCACCTAAATGAAAATATTGAGCGCATAGTCCTCACCATATCAAATGTAGCGCAGAAACTGCTCAGTCTATAATCATATATTTCTAGACATATAGAGCATCTGATCATTGCAATTATTTAGACTGAATTTAACATTTTTCTAATACAGTTTCGAGGATAATAAATAATATAGATAAAATTAGATTTAAATCACATTTATAAATCAACTGTTACCTTCGTTTTCAGCAGTATCGTCCTTAACTTTCTTCTTTTTCTTCTTTTTAGCTCTTAGATCGAAAGGCTGTAAAATAAAGATACACATATGAGTAACTTTTTATGTTTACAAAAACACTCCTTCGGTTTACTTCATCGTCAGCCATTTTTTTGTACGCTAATGAATTTATCTGAAACTTGGAAAACTGCTTTAAGAAAACCTAATAAAGCACATGTAAGGTTTTTTATTTTTATTTTTGTACAAAAAAGAAAGCACGCACTACCACGTGTGCAAATGCTCACAACTAAAAACTAAAGAAACTAGAAGTAATTCAAATCGGTTAAGATACGACAAGCGCAAAATTCTAGTATCAAAGTGAAATCACATGCGCCTAGGGTATCCGAACCGATCAAGTCGTGATAACGTAAATAAATTCTTCGGAAACACTCTAGATTGTGGGCAGTAATAAATCTATGGACTAACCAATTAGAAGAGGCAAAAGTGAAGAACATACATTAATGAAGTAACAGAGAAAGCAACAAACATAAAGTAAGATGTGATGATGAAATGTGCCAAGTGCACAGCAATTGAATGACAGAAAAGTTATTTGATAATCAATTCAATAGAGCGCGCAATCTTACGGAAAACTATTTTAAAGAACAGATTGCGACGAAAAAATTGATAGAATCAGCCTGTTTGAGAAGAGAGTGTACTCTAATAGGTAGTCAGCCGTAGAGAATCTATTGGGAGTACTTTTACGAATCCTAAAGTTTTCATAAAAACTTTCAAGTTTCTGTCGGTTTCTGGTTGATATGAGCTACTATTATTAATGAACGGGGTTTCGCTCAAATTAAGAAAAACAACGCGAGTTTTTCGATACCTTCATGAGAAATTATGCGGGGCGTTTTTCTTCTTTGCGCATATACCTTTTAGAAGATTTCATGTGCACTTATATAAAACGAAACCTTACAGTAAAGGGCCAAGTGAGTCCGAGTGATGAATGTTACTTGTTAATAGTGACGGAAGAGTCATTCAAAACTGTTAACTTCCTTTGTCATGTACCAGTAGACCTATGAGCAGATATTGATCTGATTTGTTGTTGTCGCAGTCATAATACGATTATGAAGAATCCTAACTACTGCTAACCGGAGCAACGTAATATAGAGTTTCAGCATCTAGAAAGAAAATTTTCTCTCTCTAGACATATTTTCCTCTATGCTTTCAAATGTGTGCAAATAAATCCTAACGTAGATGTCGCCTATACAATTTAAACAAAATCAGTTATACAGTTCGTCGTTTAATAAATAAGAATTCTGTTCATTCTGTATTATAATACAAAATTTTTCTTATAGAAAACTTTCAGACATTGATAAACCCATTAGCATATTTGAATCTCCTCCATGGCTTCTTTTTCTTGATTTGGTTGAGTTTGTATAGTAATAATCATAATCATCTAAATCAATCAATCAGTGAAATAAATAAATAAATGAAGAAACAATTAAATATGACTGCGTTTATTGGTATAAATCAAACTCTCTTTTCAATTATAACTTTGTTTTCTAGATGTGATGCTCATTTAACGAAGCAGTTTCTTGTTGATATTTTTGTCGAAAATGTTTTTTCTATTTTGAAGTCAGGCTCAAATGTTATTTTTCTATGGATGATTTATGATTTAGCAAAATATCTGCGGCTTTTGTAGATTCATATTATAATCGGATCTATATCTATTTTTTTACTGAATATATTCTCGCTACTATTGTCTTTTATGTGAAGTCTATTTTTTGAGTTAAACGTCAAATAACAGGTAAAATTAGAGAAAAAACAATATATTAACTTTTGTTCAATTCTTTTTCTCGTTTTAGTTATTGGTCCGTGTACGTGATCTTTTTTTACTAATTTATATTTATATTTATCCATATGAACATGGTGCTATAGCATTGTCGTTTGTACAAAGTATTAAATATAATATTAATATTATCAAAAAAAAAAACTCAAAAATGTCAGCCGATGCTTGTTGTCAATCATCAACAAATGTTCATTTGCATTTAAAACAAAATTCGGCATTATGTGATAGTAATAATAATGAAACTACTCAAGTAAAAGGTATAAGGCGCAATATTTATTCGATTAGAGCGGCGTATGTACAGAACATTACAAATTCAAAAACGTAGAAATCTCTCATTTTAGCAATTGTTTAGTATTCTTTTCATAAAATTATGAAAGAAAATTGTCGTTACCGTCTAAAACGACTCTACGACTAAGATTGAAGCAGCGTCTTATGCACATTTCTCATTGTTGTAGCTATATCTCCAACAGACGAATGTGCACACGATCAATATACGCCAGAGAATGGAATTCAAGAGAAATCGGATACAGTGAGTTATTTCTTTGTGATCCATTTTGTTATCTCTCTCTCTCTCTCTCATGATACTTTTTGTAGGAACATGTTGCAGAAGCTAGTAATGATAAAGAAGACGCACAACAAGAGCAACATTCATCAGCTGTCGACGAAACAACTATTTTACCGTTGAATGAAGAACAACTTGATGAAGAGACCGTTATGAAGAATAGTGAAAGCGTGGACAATAAAGAAGAACTAATTCATCCGGAGCAGTTAGATGATAGTGAAAAAACTCTTTCTTTATCAACTGATGATAATAAAGTTAATAATAGTAATAATGTAACTACGCCAGAACCATACAAAGATTTTAGTGGAATTGATACGGAAACATTTATTTCTCGTACAATTAAAAATAATCCAAAGGATCGTTCGTTAATGTTTCAATTAGAACAGATATTTAGAGATTTTATCAACGATACAAAAGCAAAAACATATCAGTTTCAACCAATGAATTCATATCAACGTATGATGAAAAACACATTTCTACAGAAATATTATAAATTGCTGTTCTTCTTTTATTTGTTCCTTTTTAGGTATGATTGTACATCGTGTTAGCGCATTTTTTGGGTTGGATCATAATGTTGATAAATCAGGCGCATCAATCATTTGTCAAAAAACTCAAAATACCAGAATGTAAGTTGTAGACTGAAAAGTATTCGTAAACTGCTACTAGTTCGTCAAATTTTTCAAGAATAGTGAATTTACGTGGACTCATTGAGATTATATGTTACACTTATTCTATTTGGTTTAAGTGGAACTATGGGTTCGCTTGTGTCTCTGGAGTATTGTTAGTGATATCACTACTCTCGTTTATAACTAGTTGAACAGTTTTATTTTTTTCACGAGTATTTGACTTCTCCAGTTGAGTTGCTCTCATGAGATAAATGGAGAGATTAGGAACTGCTGTATTTCGAAATATTATTATAAAAATATGAAACAAAAAGAATGTTTTTTTTTTCGTTCTTTCAGACCGTCGTTTTTCTTTGAAAATTGCATTCCAGAAAATGAACCGCCTACGCCACCGCCATCGGCCTCGAGTCCTCCAGATATTGTTGATACAGCAGATTTAGTAACGCCGTCCACGAATAGTAGTAGTATCAATAATACAAAGAAAATCTTAAGACGACGTGACATTAATGATACAACAAACGGAGCACCATCAGCCTCTTCTTCATCGTCCTCATCGACAACTGGTGCTCCTACTTATAATTATTCTGTGCAATCTTCACCATCACAACATCAAAGAAAACCCTTCCATGAACGACAACAATATTATAATGAAGTGAGAAGAAAAATATTTAATAATCCCGGCGTACAGCCAGGCGAGCAACAACAACAACAACAACAACTACAGCAGCAGCAACAACAACAAAATGTTAAAATATTAAATAATGATCAACGACAACAACATCAAAAATTGTACAAAAATTCGATGAATATGAATGACAGTCATCAGACGCAATCAAATTCCTATTCGAATATTCAACTTCAATCAAAACAACATTATAAAAATGATTTATCGAGAGCAAATGAACAACAATCTTCGTCAGAACGTCGGGTACCAAATAGTATGATCCGTAGACAGCAACAGCAAAACTATAATAATTCACTGAACAGTGCAAATAGAAACAATAAATCTCAACATTATTATCAAAATTCAACGCAATCAACAACAAATGTACCAACGAATAATAGCAATAACAGTAGCAATCAATATAATCATCAATATGGAGCAAAATCCGCGAATACACCAGATATCAATGCAAGACGTATGTTTGTTTTTATACAGGAGTACTGTACTAGTTGTTTGAATCAAAGCATCTGTTTCCTGATAATAAGTCAAAGTTTCTTCATCTGCAAAGTTACTTTAAAATGCCGAATCAAATTGAACAATATATCTTTCTCTACTGCTTGAAGAATACGTTAACTCTGATAGTTGGACAGGATACGTTTTTGGTGATTCGTTTAGAAAAACTTTTTTACTAGTGTATATCTTTTTCATTGCAGCTCCAATTTATCCAAATCAACAACATCAACCCCCACAACAACAGCAACAGTTTTACGTATCAGCACCAAATAGTTTTAACAATCCAACACAAATCGATAACAAATATTTATTACACTCAAATCAAGCTGGTTTACGTTCACCACTTTCCGTTCCACTTATTTATCCCTCGCAACCACAAACTAGCGGAGAATATGATTATAATCCTAATTTAATTCCTGTTGGAATCGTACCAGCATTTGCACATGCAAACCAACCGCAACATCAGATTCATCCTCATCCAGCATTTGTTCAAACGAACACAAACACGACTATACCGCAACAACAACAACAGCATCCACATCAAAATACACAAGGCTTACCAATCTATTTATTACCGTCTCAACCGGGTCAACAAAGTCAATATGTCTATTTCGCTCAACCACCGCCACAATCAACTTCGTATCCTCTAACTACGATTAATCAAGACGGAACGTTGTCGACCGGAGGACATTATCTTCATGTGCGTCGTAATACAACAGACATGATTGAATAACTTTGTTTTTACATATTTTGTTTTGTTTTTAGTTATATCGTTCTGAGCAGGATCGTCCTACAGCATCAACAACCGATGTAACAGCAGTTTCCTATTCAACTGCCGCGCAAACCTATCAACATCCACAATTGCCACAACAATTGACATTACAACAACAGCCTCCTACACCTCAATCACAGCAGCAGCAGCAGCAGTATCGTCTATATCCCACTAATAGTACAAATTCACCAATTGCTCAAACATTCAATCCACCACAACCAAATTTTAGTCAAGGTAATACTATATAACAACAGAAGAATTTCGTTAGTTCCTAAACTGTACGAGAAGTTTGAGAAGAAATCTGAAATATTTCTTATTCACGTTTCTATTTGTTATAAATACTGCTTATTCTTTGTAGGTGCAATACAAGGTTCAACAGGTACGATACCCTATCAGTTCTCTGGAGTTTCACCGTTATCATCAAATACTGGACTAAAAACAGCAACGATATTTGATAATGGAATGCCGAATGTTCTATCGTTTGGCTCAGCTAAAACACCTGGTAATCCAAACACAACCGCTCTTTTTAATCCATCGATGTTAATAGCAGCAGCAGCACTGAATAATCCCAGTCATTCGTCAAACGGCAGTGAGGAGTACCATCATTCTCAATCAGTCCAACAAAATTCTCGTTCATTACAACATCAACAATCGTACAATCCCCAAGTTCGTTATCAACACCAAAATAAATATCAAAATCAACAAGCATCGGCCATTACACCATTTCGTAAAGTAAGTTTATCCTGATATAAGCTATTTATACAGTAGTGGAATCAATTGCAAAATAATGGTTAAACGCCGCATTGTTAATGACTTTAAATCTGAGATCAAGGTATTCTAACAGGAGTTAATATAGTGTTTTAAACGTGTAGTTAGTGAATCAAAATAACATTATTCTTTGTTATAATTGTTTCTGTTTTTTCTATTTAAGAATGATTTATATGTTGGTCAACCTTTAGTCGGTGCCTCGCCAATGGTAACGCAGCAACGACATCAATATCATTCATCTCCTAAAAATTCCTACTATCATCATCCACAAGCCTATGATCACTCAACACGTAACAATCAGCGTTCTTCGACAAATAATAATAATAATAATCATAATAATAATACTAATAATAATAGTAATAATAATCCTTCCACCACATCACAAGAGAAACAATTATCACCATCACCAACTTCAACACAAACAAAAGAGAATGAAAGTATCTCTTTGGACAATGCAGGTTCAGTTAGCGATACCGTCAATACACCAACATCATCAAATGAACCAAATAATTCTCTTTCGCCATCATCGTCTTCATCGTCGGCAATGACTTGTGTTCCGTTACCACCTCGTCAACCAAAAAACCCTCAAAATATGGATGATGAAAGCAAAAATAGTAATACAGACATAAAAGAGACAAACGATGATTTGAAAAGTGAAACCAATGTAACACAAGGTACGTTTACGCATGTTTCTGAGTCATAGAAGTTCCAGATATTTTCAGTAATATTGGATAGTTGTTTTCGTGCTATACTCATGATTTCAGTGTATTCTTTGTTTATTTAGATCAATAAGAAATGATTTAAAATTGTACTAGCACAATGTGAGAAGACAAAAGAGTCAATGAGAGTAAAAGATTCAACACAATCTCAAATTTGTTAAAAATGATCGGTTTGTTTTTGTTTCCATTGTGTGTGTTCAACCCCCTTCTCTATTTTTCTGTGTTTATATCCAAAAACCTAATGTTTTTGGAAGGATTGTTATATTTTCTTTTTCACTCGTCTTAAACAGCTCTTTGTGCTTTTTTAACAAATGATTCGTATTTTGCGAGAGAATAATTCAACAGTATTTTATATTTTATTTACGCACATTTCAGAGAACACACTAGTCAATATATGTTGGGGACTATGAATGTTGGACAAGATGTGCATGCAGTTGAAGAAAAAAAAACTGACTGTATCAAATTAACAAAAAGGTAAATAATTTATCATCCTCTTTTCTCTCTCATTGTTCTTTGTTTGTTCACAAACATTGTGGTCATTTTTCTGTTGCATTTTTTTTTTCGTTTGTTGTTTTTTTCTTATTTTTCTCTCTCTCTCTCTCTTTCTCTCTGTCTGTCTAGCTCGCGTCTACACATAGTTGTTGTTTTTTTTATTATTATTATTATTATTATTTGTCATCGATCTGTACTTATCTATATAAAAGAACACTACAACAGCATCAACACAATAAGAGGATGTTAACCCGTTTCGTTTTTTCGTTTTCTTTTTGTTCTTTCTCATTTTTCAATAAAAACATTAAAAAAAATTACTAATTACAGAATGAAGCATCACATATTAAACTGGCAAAAGCAGTTTGGAACAGTAGAATAAGTACGTAGTACGAAAACTAGTAAAAACACCATTACATGACTATTTTAGCAGTTTTACATCATCTAATCTGAAGCAAAATGAGAAAAGCATTATGATGTACGGACAAGATAAATCAGTGTTGATCCAACAAGAACAGAACATTTTTATGAGAAATACGACAAAAATTATAGTTGCTCGATATTTTTGTATTACTCGTGCAAACATCTTTTGTGTCGATTTATTCTGAAGAATGTTGATGGAAATACAATCCAATTTTCTTGATAGATCTGTTCGAATAAACAGTCAGTAACTTGATGAATGACGTTTTTTTGCTGTCAAATAATCATATCTGTTTTTTTTTCTCCTACTGCTAACTGGCATTCTATTAAGATGAAAACTCTTTAAAAATCATTAACAATAGAGTGAAAGATAATATAGAAAATTGAGTATTTATTTCTTACTTCTACATGTTTTCAAAGTAATTCATTATTCAGAATTAACAGAAATTCTTATTAAAACCAAATTCATCTACCGCTAGTTGTACACACTAACTTTTATCTTTGCTTTTATATAAAAAAAATATATTCAAACCTAGTGTCTAATTTTATGCAGACGTATAAACATCATGTACTTATCTAATTCTTCTTTCTCATCTTTTAAATTGCATGCGCATTAAATCATGCATAATCTAATAGTTTACTTTTGCCTGCTTTTAGTGATAGATCTTTTAATATGAAGACAATTATTTTACATAAAAAACAATTTGTCAAAAAAGAAAAGTCATTATTATTTATAAGGCATTTTGATTGATCCAAAACGGAATCAATATCATAATATTTCCGAATATAGAAAATATCTTGTAGATATTTATATATATATATATAAACCATTCTGGAAATTGACAAAAGGTTTTCATCTATTTTTATTTTTTCTTCTGCGTTTTTATACGAAATAGTCAAATGTAATCAATTAACGCATGAAAAATTATCAAAACAACTTTGGGAGAAAAGGGTTAGTTAGATTGTACAATATTTTTGTTTTGATTGAAGTATTGATTTTCTTTCACATTTGCTACATTATCTTAAAAGAAGTATAATCCATCGGTTCTCGTTACTTGTAAACTATTCTAGTCTTAAGAAGTTTTTGGTAGTTTATGAAAATTATATTCTGCTTTAATTGTGATTATTTTGCTAAACATTTTTCATGGTCGAGTATAAGGTGACAGAAAAAATCGACAAACAGCTTGACGGTTCATCTATGGTCTGAGAGTATTAACTTTTGTTTTTATCCTACGTATATATATATATATATATATTCGATCATCTGGAGTCATACTACAATATATGGGCTTTGGTTTTATACGCTTTCTATTGAAGAGTAAACAAGGAAGAAAAAGATTATTTGGTGTTCGTTATACAGATCCGTATGTGCTCTCTCTCTTTTTTTCACTCGTATCCATGCATGATAATTGTAAAAACATTGTTCCACCAATAATACTATGTCGACGAAAATATAATTATATTGATAAAACATATCAAGGGATATATTTTTTTTCTTTCTCTTTTTCAGGCGTGACATTTTCTTACAAGATATAGAAACTTCTTCATACATATAGGTTTCATCATTGTTTTTTTGTTTTTGTCAAAACGACTTGGATATATAGATATCATACAGATAATGAGTTTTTCTGAACGATATCTTGCCAGAGGTGGACGATTAACTTCCACTGATAAGGTAAGAGTTCTATATTTTCTTGATAACTTTCAAAAACGAATTATTTATTATAATACAAATCATTAATAATATCCTCCATTCTTTCTGAATTTAAAAATAATTTTTTTTTTTGGCACACAGTTTTACATAATCCTACTCATATGTTTTCTTCAAAGTTAACGACATCCTGACTTTTTAAAATGTTTCTATCACAGATTAACAATTTTTTTTTTCATAATTTTTTCTCATCTTTTTAATCAAATTTTCTTTAACTACTTATAGAAATATATTAAATTTTTTAAAACACAGAATGAGATTTTTTTGATCGATAAAGCTAAAGATAAGATAAAGATTTTTTTTATTATTACACGTACTTTTTTTGTTTTTAAAAATATGTTTTCATCAAACAAGTATTTTAAAACGCTTCAGATGAGAAAAATATATTTTTTTTGCATAGTAGTTTGTATTTAAATGTAACGATCGAAAAAAAGGAAATGTTTAAAAATCACAAAAAGTGGACTTTGTACTGTTTATGCTAAAAGTTTCAGCATTAGAGGTTCAGTCTTTCTGATCGAAATACTGTCTCTAATGGAGAGCCATTTTTTTGCTGTGGTAATAAATGAACAAAATAGACAAAAGGATGCTTGCTACCTAACTCATTACTCCTCTAAAATTAGGAATAACTATGTATTGATATTAATCAACAAAATTTTCCTAAAAATCTTAGTTTTGTGTATAGAACACAAAAGTTGCACCAGACGTCGATGCCATGGCAAATAGCATGTCTCGTGTGAGTAAAACAGAAGATCATGATACTCGATTTTAATTAAATCATGTTGTCATGCGTTTTATAGGTTTTGCCCCATTTATTTTTGGGTAGTTTAAGAGACAGACACAATGTTGTCGCTATGAAAAAAAATAAAATTTCGCATGTTGTATGTATTATCGATGTACCAGATATAATTGTGGATAAAGAAGGTGTATGTATCCATTATTGAGTATAAATAGTAATGATCTACGATTATTTTCATTCACATTTTTTTTCTTCAGTCGTATACTGTGCTAAATATTCAAGCAGCAGATTCGATTGAACAAAATTTATCTCAACATTTTGAGAAATGCATCGATTTTATCCATGCAGCACGACTAGATGGAAAGGATGTTTTAGTACATTGGTACGTATGTTGAAAAATTCCGTTTTACTCATTGAATTTTGTTATTTCAAATTTTAGTCAAGCTGGTATTTCAAGATCAGCAACTATTGTACTGGCGTATTTAATGACAATTATGGACTATGATTTTGATAAAGCAATGCAAATTGTCAGAGGAGCTCGAGATTACATTTATCCAAATTATGGATTCTGTGAGCAACTAAAAAAATATCAAACAAATGATATAAAAAAAGTAGGTAATATAAAAAAAAGAATTATGTTTTGAACAAATTTCTATTATTTGAAAAAGAAAATATTGTTTATATGTAGAAATGGTACAGTTTACGACGTCGATATTCAAATTATTGTTCTATAGAAGATGAACGATTTACACAGATCTTATTATCTTCTTATTGGAAACAATTTGAACCAGCGTACTCAGCTGAACCTGTCTATTGGCCAATGTGAGAATGATTGATGTATAATTCTCTGCTATTCAATCTGTATCTGCTTGAAAAAAATGTTATGTAGTTCATTTTTAATTCGGTGATCACAGATCAATCATTAAATTTTCATATAATCTGCATATCCGCAAAATATTTGCTATATTAATTCTTTCTTATTTTCTTATTTTCTTTTTTAGGCTTGATAAAAACTCAAAAAAATATTTGATTCAGTAATAATAGTCGAAGATATTAAATTTTATGTCGATAACCAGAACAATTATTTTAAACGTGATGCGTGATCTCGTTAAGAAGTGTGACACATAAAAAGATCATGAACGTAATCGAGTCAAAGTTTGCACAAAAGGACACTACAACTGATAAAAGTAGGCGAGTGCCGACTAAACCAGTATTTAAACAAAATTGACGATAATAATCTTGAACAACAAAATTGCACCAAATAACATGTACTGGCAATAGAAGAAATAACATGTGAATCATGCCAAGATTTCCATAGAATCGAAAAATATGGAAAATAAAATTCGAGAACACTGCATGCATCCAAGATGGATAACATACCGAAAAGAATCTATTCACCACCAAAGTAACGGATAATAAACTATGTAGAAGCAAGATGCAATTTGAGTATCACTCAAAAATTATGTTAGTCGGTAGTAGAAAAATACAATACGGATAAAAGTAAATCAAAATAAATTCTAAAAATAACCGAGATATACATGATGAATCTTAGCGAATCGTTACCACTATAGGAGACGAGCTGTAGTTAAAAGTAAAAACTAATCAATGTTTCTGAGCTGTAGGTCTGTTCTAAATGACTTCAAACCAAAAATCATTTCCGAAGAAAAGCTAGCTTGTCATTTACACCACCGGGCGGTTACCTATGATGTTAGATGAATGTATATTTTTGCCAACGTATCTAGGTCAACCCTCTAGTCGAACCGAACTTCCAACAACAGCTAGTTTAATCGAATAGTTAACTGCCCAATTAGATAACCTTTTATGACGGCGAAGAATTGACTTAACCGTTCGAGTCTGAGTTGAAATACATATAACGAAACTAGCTCTGTCTGATAAAAAAAAAATCTGAGCTACCTAGCGTAACTGCCCATTCCTAGCCATTTTACTTTGATTGAGCTTAGATTCTATATGGAACTGATTGAAAAGAAGAAAATGGAAAAGATAAAATTTGTTAGCTACATGTGATTAAAACAGATTTGTTTTTGAACTTCAACAAAATTCTAGTAGGTTTTTCTGTGATTCTATGATAAAATAATAGAATTAAACCATGTGTCCTATATTTTTGTCAGATTGACTTCTTGCGTGTATGCATGCACATATAAATGTTTATGTAATGTAAATAAATGATACCTTTGATAAAATAACCTAAGAATAAAAAAAATCACATTGTTTTTCTCCTCATGACAAATAATAGAAAAAAAGACAAAGTAATACAAGAAAATGTCGAAATGTCTATATGACTTTATCATCTCACTTAATATTGCTGAATGTACGTCATTTCACCAAGAACATACTGGTATATTGTAAATAAACAAAATTCATCTATCTTAAACCATAAACTATGATTTATGTGATATTAATATTTTTCTTGAGTTTTCTCACTTGTGACTGTTCATGCTTGCCAACCTTAGGACAAAATATAGCTAAAACAAGTATTGACGATGTTGATTGTTACAATTTACTTTCACTTCATAAGAAAATTCCATTAACGACTGGAAAAACGAGTAGAACAACATCAGCCAGTTATTATAAGAAAGATAGTTTTATAGCAAATTTGCGAAAAACAGCATTGATATTAGCCGGTATAGCAGTTAGCCTCGTACTTCTTCGGATATGTCTTATGTTATGTAAAAGTAAATCATCGGCTACGAGAGATCATCATAGACGATCAGCATCTGTTGTACCACATCAGTCGGTTGCGATCATTGACGTAGAACATAAATTAGATGTACCACCAAAATATGAAGAAGCAATCAAATCAGGAAGTGAACATGAATGGAAATTACCATCTTATGAAGAATTGCAAACTACTACTATTGCATTACCAAACACTTCTTAATTCAACTAACATAGGCCATGTTACAACTGTTACAAGAAATATTTGGTACAGATATTCGGTATTCCCGTTTGTCTATAGCTTCTGCGTACTTTATTCTTTTCGTGAGTGAGTTCTAATAAATATGGTTTTAACGTCTGCCCCTAGGCAAAATCCTACGTACTTCCTGTCTGTTTCCTACTAGGATCTTACAGGATCCCTAAATGTTAGGATCCACCTAATAACTTCCTAGCAGGATTTTAAAAGATTCTACTAGGATTTCGCTTAAGTTTGTTTAGGATTCTAACAGAATCTTAGAAAATCCTATGACTTTCGGGTATACCGGATTTCATTAGGATTTGTCAGAATCCTAAGGAATCAAAGCGAAATCCTAGTAGGATACTAGTAGGATATGTCTTGGATCTTGTCAAGAAAGTCATAGGGATTTAGGGTCATCTATGTAATACTCATTTATATAATTTGAATTAGATATTGACGAGTTTCCAAATGACCACCATAGACGTGTGGTTAATCAGAATATACCGATTCTTACGGGACGATGTGTAGTTGTTTCATCACGTTCCGTTGAACTACACTGTAAAAAATAGTTGTAGATTAATAAACTATCAAAAAGGGTTTATTGACACAAATAAACCTTTTAAAAAACGCTTTTCCGTTTTTTATATCCAAAAGACTAAAAAGCGTTCGTGACAGATGCAAAATGAAAAACGGGCGGTTTTTTGTCGAGTCTAAAAAACTAGCTAAAAAACTGAAGAGTTTTTTAGCTGATATTTTAAACTCGACAAAAAACTCGACCTCCCACTTCTTTGATTAGCTGTAAATAAAATACTATGTTGTAAATAGAATACTCAAAACAAAAACTGTAGTGTGAGGTATGACTAGAAACATGTAGCACTTGTTCATTTCGTCGATATTTGGATATATGAATTACTAAGTCAGTTTTAGTGATCTTCAGCACTTGTCATGAACGTCTCGATTTATTTTTGTGGTTTTTATGTACATCTTTGTATTAGGATTTAGTATGTCTATAATAACAAGATTGTCAAAGTTGGATGGCAGACATGAAACATAGTTTTGACGTGATGTGTCTAAATAAAATTTTGACATATATGCGTGAGATATGAAAAACTCATGTCTTCGAAGTTGTGTGTGCGAACATTGATTTTTTTTTTATTCCTCATTACATCATCAATGAGAACATTATGTTAAGAAAAATATATAACAAAATCCTAAAGCAGAAAAAGACACACCCGCATCTCTTTTTTCAAAAAAATGAAATAGAAAAATATTTTTTTAAGAAATAATTTTGTTAGTAATGATTCAATGACTCCCCTTTTAAGCTACGACTATCAGTACAATGATTGAACTTGATTGCATGCATGTAATGCGATGAATGATATTTTTTATTTTCCATTCTATTTTCTACCTGTATGCATCACATCAGTGTGAAAAAAATTACTTTGAGAAGAGAGGGTGTATCATGTATTTACTAGCTCTAAGAAAAAGAGAAAGAAGAAGTAGAATATCCCTTAAGTGGTTAGTGAAGCAACATTTCTTTTCACATCATATTTATAGTTGAAATAAAATGAGCACGGTCCTGGGTAAGATGTAGTGTTTTTCCATAGATATT